TCTCCTGATACAGTTCATATCAGATTCTTCCTGCCTCGTCATGTCTGTCGCGTTCTTGGTCACCGTCAAATTTCAATTGGTCACACTCAACCAAGCATTCACAACACGATATTTTGCTCTTGACTATTGGCAGCCGATACCCTTTTTTGAAATGATAGATACTCCTGTCAAGATTTGCATCATAGGCCTCTTTGTTGCCTCGACTGTCTTGATTATTTTCTGCTGCTTCAAAAGCGGAAAAGGCATTTTGCAGAAGGTGAGCCGTGAGCCATTTGCCAGGCGAACATTTCAAATCAACTAACCTCCTTTTCCGATAGGTGAGAGACTTGATCTACAGCATTGCCGCCATTCTTTATCATGCATCTGTCTTGTGGCATATCGGGGAAGCAACCGACTCGAAAACGATCGTTTATATTACAGAGTCCTTGGGAGACACGCTTGCGTATGTGAAGATCGTCGTATACACCTTGTCAATTGCGTATACGGCTCTTTTTTCGGTTGTATTGCTTTCCTCATTATATGGCCCATGCTGCATCCTGGCCAATCATTTGGTCAATCTTTCCTTGAGGCGAAATCGGCGGCCGGCAACGGAGGAGACTGTACCGGACGACATAGACAAAACGGGCTTAAATGAAAAAAGTACACCAATGACTCCGACGAGGTAGAGATTTAAGTTGTTTGCGGTCTCCATTTCAAAACTAGATGGTTTCGGGAGGTTGAGCACTGATCGGTAGTCGTTACCTTGTTGCTAGTCATATCGCCAATAACACTTCAGTGGGACTCACCAGAAAGTAATTTTCCGGGCACAACATGTAAGGCCCTTTAGCTATAGTAGTTAACTTTGGGTCATCTCAAGATTTAGTTTCTGAGCATCGGCAATCCCGCTAAAGGCCATGATCCGTTTTCACCTATATTAGATTCCGTACGGAGTATACACAACCATACAGCTCATCACACATGGAGACTGTAATCTACCCATGACTACAGCTATTTGGCAGTGATGCTTCTAGTGAGAATCATATTGTACAACGAGTCTTGCTCGAGAGATGCTCCGGTGCTGAGTTGAAGAGGCCACCCTCAACCCCGGCAGCCCGGGAGATATCCTGAGCTTGCCAAGCCTATATATCATTTAATTTCCAAAAGATTACTAACAAATCCATTAGTCTGCATGGCTTAGTTGGTTAAAGCGTCGGTCTCATACAGTAATCTGTGTGATTAACTCACAGAGTTAGCCATCCGAAGGTCGTGAGTTCGAACCTCACTGCGGACATTCATTTTTGCCCAGATGATCCCCGTGATGCTAGATACTCACAAATACTGTCTCCGTAGTTTATTTTTACTATTATTCAAGACGTGAACAGCCAAGCTCAAGTGGCAAGGGTTAAGCTATATCCAGGAACCGAGAGTCTCCGTTCCTTGGTAAACACAGAAGCTAGTAACCTTAAGGTACGTAGGTACTTATAGATAAGGTACCCACGTAAGGAGTTAGTTTGTGTTAAAACATCAGAGACGCTAATAAATACAGATCGCGATCATACTGGACAGTATTTGTTGTTAGCAAGAACAATAATCAATTATTAGGTAAAATAATACCTTCTTATTGTATCGCACAATAGAAAGGTTGATTTTTACATGACGGACTGCCATATCATAATTCTATCGACGTGACTTTGCAGTGCCTGATTTCTAACAGCAACTTGAGTGAGAAACGTCCAATCATGTGTCAAGCTGGACTTAGATAACAGTCTTCCGCGGGACTTTTCTGGCTGCTTGGAGAATTAAAGCTGGATGAGCAAATATTCGCGAGGGTTGAGCGAACCACAGCCTTGTGTCTGGCCATTGCCAAGGTGCATTTTTTATGCATCTAGAATAATCCAATGTCTAAGCCGCGTGTCTATCAATTCTATATCTTCCTCTAGCCCGGTAGATTTCCCACAGCCCAAAGGCCATGCACGAACCTGTCCACTTCCCTGCTGTTACTTCACATAGGCAAGCTTCGCAATCTCCCTCGCGGATATGTCGCGTCCCTTCTCGCCTGCTCTCACCTTATCACCCAGAGATTTGGCCTTCTCGCGGAGGGAGATGCTTGCGTTTCCGCCATCGACAACTTTGATGATCGCGCTGCTGATTCCGTCAGCCGTCCAGTCTGGGCTTGTGTCCCTGCAACCCCAGACGCCGATGCCGGCCGTTTCTGAGAGGGCGGCAAAGTTGTACAGGTCAACCCAGAGAGGAAGAATAACATGAGGTACACCAGCGCTAGACACGGTCAGATGGGGCTATTCATAATCGGGGAGACGCGACTCACCTGACAGCCTCATGGAAGCAGTTGGAGCCACCGTGGTGCACAGAGGCGACAATGTCACCGGTCTCCAGCAAAGACAGGACATCGATAGGAAGCCAGTTGGACAGTCGAAGGCGTCCATTCTCAAGAAACGGTTTCAAGGGCGCCAGTTCGTCGTCTGAGTATTCGCCGAGTTTTTTGAACTTCCAAAGAACTTGGATGTCGGTCTTGGTAAGCACATCCACAAGCGCTCCAACCATGGGGCGAACGTAGTTGATCGAGTACTATTGGCACAACTGGTTAGCCGTGTATCTGTGACGGTGCCTTCCAAGTAAAGGCAGCAGGCACCCATGGCGATGCTTGGGGGCAGCTTACCTCAAAACCACTGCCGAGATTGATCAAGACTGTAGGGCCTTGACTGACCCATCCGGCCAATTCTGGATCTTGTTCGCTGGCCGGTGCAACCGAGAGCAAGATTGGTCCAGCGCAGGTGACGTTGGTAGGCACCACGTCAACGGGAATAGACGCGCCTTCGGTATTCATCGTGATCCATGGAACATCAGGGCGGTGCATCTTGAGAAAATTGATGGGGTCTTTGAGGCCTCTGGTCCTCAGTTCAGCCTTCTTAGCTGATAGGTTTGGTGTCAACATGACGGCATAGATGAAGCGGAAGTTGAGGTAGATGTTCTCTAGCATGTTGCGCCATGGCACCGGAAAGTCAAAGCCGGAAGACCAGCTAAGTGTGTTAGTACAGGTAGCTTAGCTACTGTGAAACCAGTACAAGGATAGACTTACGCGGGGTATTTCCAGAACATGCTGCCGTAAGGCTGGTCACCACGGAAGCTATCTAGGAGGGTGTTGGGCGAGATTATAGCGTGCAGGCGGTTCTTGTCGCGGGTGCTGTCGAGGGCAGGACGTAGAAGCACCTCCAAGACGACTACTGCAGGGTCAACCTCTTCAATTAGAGCGCTGATCTCGTCGTAGAGTACCATGTGCTCCTCTACGCCCCATGGGGAGACCCAGTCCTGCATGTTGTTTGTGAACTGATCGATACCGGCGATTCCGGGAGGGGAAATAGTACTCTCTTGAGTGGCGCCTAGTAGTTGCATGGCCTCAGCGAATGGCTGACCACGGAGCTCGTGGAAGACGATGTCCTTGGCGGCTGGCGTCTTGGCCTGTGCAAACGCCGAGACTCGAGCCAGCTTCTCACGAAGCTTCGGGAAAGATGCGAAGTGTACCTCGATGTCGGGATAACCCTCAAGAAGCGCAGACGCGGTGGCCACATGAACATTACTGAGGCCATGCTGAATGTTGGTGATGAAGAGGGCCGTCTTGTTCCGGCCCTGGACATATGGCTCTCGCTGAGGAGAGCTGGGGATGAAGAGCGCGACCAGCGCGGCGATCACGGCGCCGGCCACGAGCAACAGTCGTAGGAACATTCTTTAGTCGATGTTCTGTGCAGAGACTGAGACGACAAGTGCGTGTGACAGCAGGAGGTGAAAAGTCGGCGTTTTCTTTTTGCATTGTGCTTATTGTCTCAGAATGATATATGCCCCTGATTCGCAATTAGTGCTGACACCCAACAGACTCTGCCAATCAACAATTTCCCGCTGGAGATATTACCTAGCTGGTGGGGTTAGATTGGAGCGATCCTGGCTGGGACCAGGGACTTGGTCTGTGAGATTAAAATTTCCTTTTGGAGTAAATGATGGCGGGAGATGAAGAACCTCGCCTCGCTTCATATTTCCGGCAGTCGTCGTTTGGACGCGTCCTTTGTAATACTGGTCTAAATTTAGCTTCATCTGACCTATCTCATTCTGAGCTTCGCTTAATGAAAGGCGTGCCTCTCATTGCCTTGTTCTAGCCTCCGGCAAGCGAATTAGCCAAAGTTATGAACACATATGGCAAGCAAGTCGGAGACGTCTTTGCGGATGTTCTCGAGCCAGCCCAGGAGTACCTGTTAATGCCCAATATCCCGCCGGTCTTGCCGGAAATCAATATAATTCGCATCTGCCATTTGGCCCCCTTGTTCTTCGAACAGCGAGCGGCAAGGCTCTAGGGTGTTTACCCCTCAAGAAATTCCACAGGAAAAAGATAAGATCCCATATAGCGATGATCGCAAAAGCTCGGTTGAATGTAAGATTGCCCATCAACTAGCATGCCTTTGGGGAACCGAGCATACATATGCGCCCCCCCCCCAATCTTTGCCGTTCGTAAAACTAACGGTAGCCGGTCCCTGAGGGATGATTAACTTTTGCCCTGTTGTTGCTTTTGCAAAAGCCTCTCATGGGCTCATAAGTTATTAATAATATAGTACGTGAGTCTAGAAACGGAGTCCATTCCTATTGTTATCTTCCTTTGTTACTGAAGTGATCCCTCGTCTCATGAATAAAGAACCAGGCTACTTCGTTGTCCGATGAGCTGGCGCTTAAACTTAAAAGATGAGTATCTGAGAATGAAAAATTGCTCCTTATCAAATTGATCATTTTCATAGTGAGGGGAGACATATTCCGGTGCATTTGCTGGTTTGGGCGGAAGCATGTCCGGATGGATCATTACCCGCATGCTCCTAACCCAGCGGAAACACTTCCGCAAATTGCTTGATCCGTGAGGATTAAATCGGCCAATATGCTGGTGATAATGTAGTATTTAACGGCCCTGGGTCTTAGCCCACCGTGTTCTTGATCTCGCCATCTACCATATCAGTGCCCTTCATATCATGGCCCCTCATTCTCTTTCTTCCAAGACAATAGATAGTCTTCGCGGACTTCTCAATAATGCGTGCGAGGTTGATCTACCGTGTGCCAGTGCCACAGTAGTGAGCGCCACTTCGGAGCTGTTTCACCATGAGACGGTGGCGAGGAACGGCCAGAACGATGATATTACGATGATACCACAGCCGGGCCAGGGGTCACCCAACGATCAGGTCTTCTGGTTAGCCTCTTGCACGAAACTCATCACAACTATTGCCTGTATGCAACTAGCTGAGCAGGGAAAGCTCACACTTGACGACGGAGATGAACTCGAGAAACTCTGCCCGGAGTTACGAGACATAAAGGTCCTCAATAGTGACGGATCGACGTCGAAAAAGAACAAAAAGATCACACTGAGGATGTTGCTGACGCATACTGGTACGTATATTACTTTCAATGAGCATTAACTGCGAATGTTCCACCTCTTGCATCCTCTCCACGAGTTCCAGCTTTTTGACCTTGCTTGAAGCCGGTTTCGGATACTCATTCCTCAACAAGAAGCTTGGGAAGTACAAATATAACGAATTCTCCGGACTTGCCCAGGACTTCCACCAACCACTGGTAAATCAGCCTGGAGAGCGATTTGAATACGGGGTATGGCGACGACCTGATTCTCTATTCTTTCCTTCAAGCCTTTCCGGACGACTCACCCGGAAGTCATCCCCCTAGCTAACCAAGGCTACTAGATTAGCATAGACTGGGCGGGTATTGCCATAGAGCGTGTTACACAGTCCAGGCTCGGCGAGTATATGCAAAAGCACATCTTCACGCCGGCAGGTATCAAGGAGTTGTCTCTCTTTCCACCAAAGGACATGAGAGATCGACTTGCGGGTATCTGGCAGCGGGATGCAAATGGCCGCTTGAGTCCACGATCATATCCTCTTGACCGACCCTTGGCCCCGGATCAGGTGTCCGAGACTTTCCATAGTGGCGGCGCTGGTGTGTGGGGGACTGTGCGTGACTATGGCAGTATGTGCTCCCAACCCGAGTTGATCGAGCATCCCCTAACGTGTCAACAGAGCTTCTGAGGGTCCTGCTAAATAATGGAACTTCTCCCCTGACAGGCGAAGCAATTCTCCGCCCCGAAACGGTCGACATGATGTTTGAGAACCAGCTGCCGAATGATCCCAACTTCGCTCGCGTTGAGCTCCCAGCCGTTAAGCCCGAGCTGGTCCATCCAGCCAAAGAGCTTTATCCGCTTTGTCCAGAAAGTGAGCCCCAAGGGTGGGGGCTCGGTTTCATGATCTCGGGCGGAGTGACTGGTCGTTCAAACCACACAGTCCATTGGTCCGGTTTGTCCAACTGTTTGTGGTGGTGTGATCGAGAAAGAGGGGTGGCGGGTATGGTCGCGTCCCAGGTACTTCCTTTTGCTGATCTGAAGGCGGTACAACTGTGGGCAGATATTGAAACTGCCACTTACAATGATCTTGCGGAAGATTGAGGCGGATGTTTGCCTAAATTGAGAGCTCCCCGGGATGGTTGATCTGATAATCTTTAAGGGGGAATATCTGCTGCCCCCTCGAAGAACGGGGCTAGTGAAAGCCAGTTCATCCCTACAGAGTTGCTTGCGGAATTGTTATTTGGTCCGTCGAGCTCTCCGTGGTCAAGCTCGAGGTTCGAGGGGAACTCTTTATTTCCTGCCATTGGATCAAGTGTCATATATCTCGCATCGAGGGTCACTGCAGGGTGATATCCCCCTGATTGCAATAAACGAGATTCATCGATGCTTATACTTCCTTATTTCACTCCCTTAGTATGTAGGCGTGGGCAAAACTTCCAAAGACGTACCGTTACTGTAGCTCGAGGCCTCTTGTTCTAGAAGTTCCAAAAGTCTAATGCACCGCGGCGCAGACTGACTTTGTGACTGATACTCACGAAGGAAGGTCAAACAGCGGTCCCAGTCGGCCATTAGACTGTGTTGCTCGACGTCGCTAACTTTGTGCAGACAGAGAGAGCCCAAGAGAAGCACGAGGGCACAGCCGTGGATATCTACGGTGTAAAAAGAGGTTAGAGCCGAGAGTACGTTTCGAAAGGTAAAAAGCGTTGACATGTTAAAATAGGTTACTCACAAAGTACGTTGTACCATGGCGGTGGTAGGAAATGGGCTCGGGAGTGGGAGTTTTCTGTTATCAGAGAAACAAGTTCTTGCGCAACAGACACACACAGATTTCCGGACTTTATCAGCATGATCTCGCGCACACTTGTACTTATGGAATCAGGCTGAGTTGACGGCAGGCCAACCTTGTTGACAGAATTGCACAGCTCCGACAATGAAGGTCTAAGCAGGTTCATACGCACATATAGAGACCTGCGATGGTTAGCAACTGCGAGAGGTTTGGAGCGCAAGACTTTTGCTTTGATCAAGTGAACTGGAGTACGTACCTCGCTTTGAGCACTGTGGCTTGCCGGCAAAAGATGATGGACCTTAAGGAGCGTGGACTGCCCGGAAATAATTTTTCCTCTGAGTAGTTGTGCACTTGCAAATGCGCTGGCAGATCCTTGTTCCATGTATCGAGCTGGCGATCTACGTCGAGCAGCTTTTGAAGTCCGGCGTCACTGATCCAGTTCTTTCGCGATCTGACAGGCTCGTTGTTCATCTTTCGGTCAAGAGTAGGGGAGGATGCTGTGTCGTTGTCCGAGCCTTGGTAATAAAAGGAAGTGAGAACATGGCCTAGGATGTCCTGTAGTTTAAGTGCGTGAACATAACATTCCACAAGGCCTGGGGTGTCGCTTGGCTGGCATCCCGGAGCACCAGCAACGCGACTTAACAATTCGTCATCTATTGCCGATGGAAGGACGATTGTGCCGTGCGAGATGCTACCGTGTATCATGGGAGGGCGTCCGTAAGTCAGGGAAAGAATTCTGCGAGAGCGTTAGTTTAGCCTTGGGCTCCGAATAGTGTATACGAGCACTGACCGGTCGAGCAAAGCACACCCAGCCCAAGCGCGTCTGCGCATTTCCTCCTCGAGTTGATCTGATGCTCGATAGCTGCTAGAACCGTTTTGATCCCAGTCCTCAGGCTCGCGGTGTAGCCCCATTCCTTGAGCGACGCGAATAGCCATGCCTACGATATTCCAACATGAGGTTGTTATGTCTCTGGTCTGAAGGTATTGGCCCATGAGAAGAAGAACTTGCACTAGAGCTACACTGCCACTTTCTAATGCGTCGAGGTCAAGGAGAGTCTTTGCTCGCTTGAAGAATGTCTCGCTGATCTCATCGCGTTCCTGCTGCCTGATCCCGGTGTCGTGGAGCACGCCAAGAGCGAGGACGACATTGAGCATACAATGAAATAGACCATCGTCAATGGTACTGTAGTATACGTTCACAGGCCCATCCAAAGAATCAGTGGCTCCATAGGCTTGTAAATTTACCTGAGGGCTCCAGAGTGTGAGGTAGCGGTCATGGAAGGACGGCCAATGTAAGAATGGGTAGAGAGAGTGCATGTTTGTCCAGAATAGGTCGACAAAACGATCCGCTGCCGGCCTTGGAGGGAGACTCATCCCAAAGATAGGATTAACGCTCTCGTATCCCCGATTGAGCCAGGCCGATGAGGGCGGAGATGGTTCGCTTGCAACCAAGAGGGCGTTGTGCTCGCACGCTGAGCAGCGATCCGGGTTGCCGGGAAGAGATGGTCCATGGCCGCACTTTCGTCGCCCCATGGCACTCCGTACCTCACGAAGGAGACTGATCGTGCTTGAGGGGCCAAAGTAATCCGCGCCTCTTCTTGTTGGTTGAGTAGTGGTACCACGTGGAGAGATAACAACTCCCATGGCATTCATTGCGGGTTGTCCCGCTTCCAGGTCGGCTATATCCAACCTGCCGTTTTCTTCGAGAGAATCTCTGGTGGGAGGAGTAAACCTGGAAGCCGAATCAAAGTCCATGCCAGCCCACAGCACAGAGGCTTGATCTGAAGCATGTTCGATATGGGCTGTTTCCGCGGATGCCAATGGCAACGCAGTTTCTGGTTGGCGCACCTCCAGTGAATTCGTCCCGCGTGAGCCAATCTCTTCACGTATGGGAGTACCCTGATCAGTGGGTGCGTCCTCGTGGTGGTCGCCTACATCTTGACAAGTAGGAGAGGCTTCTAGATGGGGGGCCAACGAGACAGGGGGGCCGAATTCTCGATCAGATGGAGGGATGGCCGAGTCAACTAGGTCGTCCGTGATATTCACCATGCTCTGAGTATCCTCCAGCTCCCTGATACGATTCTTGAGCTCCTGGACATAACTGCAGCACTGGTAAGACTTTATGACTTGGGTCGGTGAGATCGGGTATGATGAGTATCTGTATGTACCTGTTGCTCCACCAGCCCTTGCTGTTCCTTTCCTGCTTCCATATGCACTGTGCCGTAGAGCGGCCTTTGCATGCTCCGCATATAGGTTTGACCCCATCACACTTGCGCTTCCTGTCGCGACACTCCTCACAGGCCAGGGCAGTGCGGCGCCGTTTCCTCGGCGGCACCGGTTCGGGGTGGTCGGCTGTGGGTGGAGCCATTAAGAGGGAGTCGACAGTCGAAAGGGATTGCCCTGCTTTTGAATCAATGTCTTCGAGGCTGTCTGTGCTGGGAGCATCTAAGGCCTGGAGTTCATGTGCAAAACCGTGGATCAAGGGGGTGGAGGAAGCTTTGAGGAAGCCCGTAAATTAGGACTGTCATTTTATACTGGCTTGTGTAACTAGTCTACTCCAAACCCCGCATTCGGATCTCTTCTTGGTTTAGCGGCAGAGGAAGTCATCCTCAGGAGACTGCCGTGAGGAGGCACTAGATAATCACAGGTCACTCCCAACTCTAGCCATCAATATGGTAATCTGTGGCCCGGAACAGATGTTCTCGATAAAGATTTACGCTGCTGTAACTGGAAATTGGATTCGAAAGTCAGTCTTCGGGGTCTACGAGAAAATGTGTGAGAAGAGTACTTCTTCGGCGGGGATATTGATGTTTGTATGGGGTTCTTGATTGGTGTCAGGAATTGCTTCTTCCGATTTATTGTAGATATTGGAGTTTGGATCATGGTTTTCGAACTTGTATAATTGTACGAGAGCTTATAGAACATGGGGAAGAATGATTGCGGACTCAGTATTAGTATGTCCGGACTCCTTGGTGTACCTCCGCAAAATCCTGTTGGACACCAACATCCCCCCCACACGGCACCCATCTTGGGATTGTGGCAAATGACACGGGGTATAAAATCGAAAGTTGGAGATGAGAAATGGTGGCACCTAGGTTGTGTTCTGTCCATTTTTGGATGTGGCCTGTGATTACCAATTCGGCGCTTGCGGATATGCTTCCGCAACCAGGCCATGTGACAGAGGTCGGGCTAGTTGTATCCCTGGCTTACCGTTAGTGAGTGCCTAGAGTCTTGCTCCAAATCAACATTCAAGCTGATTCCCGGAAACCTCATTATTGTTGGCGGTTGGACTCTATCTTCCGATGTCATCATCACCGCCCCCAGAATGGCACAACTCTGATAGGTAGGACTGCCAAGAATGGTAGATATATTGGGATTGGGATCATGCTTGCCTTTGTACACTTGAGCTCAAAGGCCGGCGCTTGGTGACGAGAAGGGAAAAAATTGGAGTGAGCTTGCAAGGAGTTCTCAGTAGCAGTTGACGAAGAGGACTAGTATTCCGGTTGTTCCTCTCTCTCGATGTTATATACCACGTAAAATTGGAATGTGCAATGGTGGGACATAGCTGTATCTAATCTAGCCTTACTGTCTGAAGATTTCAATGCTATGCTCAATGAATGTTGTGCCACGATACCACCGGCTTGATAACCTTCAATACAAGAACATTAGCGATTGCATAATTAGAGCAATTGTCGGTAGAGGACTCACCCGGCCTGCCTTGAGATCTGCTATGGCCTGGTGCAAATCCTCCGCGGGGTAGCACTTTGAAATTTTGTCGATAGGAAATTTGCCGCTGTAGTACAGCTCGAGAAGCTTCGGGATCAACTGAGTTGCGCAAACCATTAGATTACGTTTGGCCCTTAATGGTTTGATAACGGCCTTTATTTTGGCTGACTTACTTTCTGCGGATTGGAAAACCCTTCAATGACTCCCACAATGCGCTTGCACGACAGTAAGAGGTCCAGGGCATTGACCTGGAAAGTCGCCGTTGGTGGCGGGACACCCACTAGAGCGAGGGTTCCCTCGTGAGACAGAGCCTCCACAGACGCCTGCAAAAGTTTCGCCGCCCCTGTAGTATCGATAATGTAGTCAACCCCGTCTGGGAACTGTTCTCTGATGGCAGTATTGAGGTCCTGGGCCGTGCTTGTGTTGATGGTATGCGTAGCTCCCAGCGACGACGCGAGTTGGAGCTTTTCCTCAACAAGATCGACGGCCACAAGATGCTCTACCCCGAGCGCTTTGGCCGCCAGCATAGCAGCGAGTCCAACAGCGCCCATGCCCAGCACGACTAGTTTGTTGTCCTTACGGGGCTGGAGGACATTGAGAACAGTCCCTGCTCCGGTCAGGTAGCCACATGCCAGGGGAGGAAAGTAGCTCAGGTCCGGGGGCTTTGCTGATATCTTGACCACCGAGTTCTCGCAGACAACCGCCAGCTTACTGAGGGATGATTGGCCAAAGAACTGACCATGTGCGGGCGTGCCATCGGGCAGAGAGATGGGTGAAGATGCTACGGGACCTTTGCGCCCAGTGTTGATAAAATTGGTTTCCGTCATTTGGGAACAGCTGCCGTATCGCTCCTCAAGACACCCTCGACACTGCCGGCAGGTGTGAAATGAGAGCAGAACTGTGTCTCCTTGCATCAGAGACTGATCAGATACATTGGACCCAATGCGTCGCACAATACCAAGTCCTTCATGGCCGAGGACTGCTGGATATCCCCCGATTGGCATGCCGCCCTGCTGCACCACGAGGTCCTGTATTGCAAGTCAGTCTTCACGAAATATCCACGCGAGGCCTCCTTGATATAGACAACAAACCGTATGGCATAGGCCGGTGTATTTGATTTCCACCAAGACTTCAGTCGGATGCAGTTTGTCGAGCACAACGTCTCTAAGTTCAAAGGGCCCGCCACGCTCAGCGACGACGTAGGCTTTGGTGGTGATCTGTTCCGTATCAGACATGGTTGTAGGATTTTTAGTAGAGGAGGAAAGTATTGCAGAGGTGAGGCGTGAGGTAGAATGTAGAGCTGAAAAGTTCTGGATGGCATACTAAATATCATATTGGGCTCCTCGGCCAGGTAAAATTCAAGCAAGACTAATCGTACCGTTTGCGGAAACACACCCGCCGCGCAAGCTTTAAGGCCCTCAACGGCAGAGGACATGGGGCTTTCTTAGATCCGCGCTTTATGGCGTGAGGCTAGTCTTACGTGACCATATTGTTATTCAGGGGACAAGAGGTACTAATTGAGAACTACTGAAGGCCTTCACGCCGGCTTCATCTCAGGATACTTGGCAAACACTAGCAGCAATAAACAACCTATCTGGTTCTATTTACACAATGTAGCAACGTTCTGCGCCCTCTGGATTTCCCTCTCTTAATTCTTAAACTTGGGGAACAAGGCGTGAGCATTCTCGTAGTTGATCTGCTTAATCAAGTTTGGATCCTCAAACTTGTACGAATCAAGGCCACTTGTGTGGAAACCGATAATCCCTTCATTTGCATAAGGGGTGTCGCTCCCGTAAAGGAGATGGCCCGGCTTGGCAAACTTCTCGAGCACCCGTAGCGCGTTCTCCGAGCCCGCCACAGCTAAATCATAATAGAAGTTCCGAGCATCGTCCAGAAACTCATCCAGCTCTTCCTTGGACTTGGGGAGGATGCTCGCAGGCCTTCCGATCAGGTAGGGCAAAACGCCACCTCCGTGGGAGAGGATGATCTTGCAGTTTGGGTTGTTGCGGACAGTCTTGTTGTAAATCATGTCCAGGGCAGTTGTCGTAGTCTCGAAGGGGTAGCGGATAACCGGCTGAGGCAGGTCGCTGACTTGGCTGGTGTCCACGGGATGGGTCGGGTGGACAAAAACGATGGCAGACCGGCGGTTGAGCTCGGCCCAGATGTCCTTAAAATCAGGGTGGCCCAAGTAGTGATTGCCGGTCCCGTATCGAGTGAACAAGGTGACGCCGTCTGCTTTGAGAGTGTCAAGCGCGAAGGCAATCTCGGCAAGAGCCAGCTCCTTATCGAGCAGGTTCGGCAAGGCCGCGAAGAAGCCATATTTCTTGGGCTTCTCGTCTCGTAGCTTGGCAGCGTACAAGTTGGTCTTGCGGGCCAGTTCCGCCGATGCCTTCGGATCCTTGAGAATACAGGCACCCGGTGCGGTCAGCGACAAGATGGTGACGTCGATGCCAAACTTCTCATTAAGCGCGGCATCAGACTCTGGGGTCCAATCAGGTATGAACCATCCCGAAGGGTCTCCGCCAGAAGAGACAAGGGCTGGGGAGTATGTCAGAATTCAAGTGTGACATATATCATGTGCAAGGTGGGGGAGGAACTGACCTTCACGATAAAAGTCCGGCACAAAGTGGTGGTGAACGTCGATTCTGTTAGGAGCCATCTTGCTTCTAGACACGTTGGTGTGTAATAAAAAAAGTAAATGTTTCGATTTCGGATTCAATAAGGAGTCAGGCTGTTGTATGTTGCTCTGCGAGGTGAAGTAGGGTCTTGGACGGGGAATTTGTACCCTCGCTCCTCCACACTGAGTCTATGAAGCCGCAACTTGTCCGCCGGTTCTCCAGATTTCCCCGGATGTTTTCCCTGGTTTAGTTCCCCAGATTTCGGAAGCCGAGGCTGGAGTTTTCGGAATATGGCAAACTAACGATGACCCCAGACGTCATGTGTCTACCTCCGGATGCGTATCCGCATGTTTGATAGACTGTAGCAGACCTTTTCCTTTGGACCCCCATACCGTGCGGAATTTTCCAGTTTCTCTTGGACGGCATCCGGGCCAACACCCGCAGACTCGCTATGGAGTTTCTCAGACAAGCTGGATGGAGCTGGCTCCCTCGCTGCTATAATGTGCGGCTATACTAAAGCTCTTGACCTGCTATCAAAGCATCCCTCTATCCCTTCACCTTACAAATAAAACCTCCTTACATTGCGACCTCATCTAAGATGGACAGCAAGTCAATTCGTCAGGTTGATAGCGTGTACGATGTTATCATCATCGGTGCTGGAATATCAGGCATCAACGCCGCCTACCGCATCCAAGAAAAGCTTCCGAATCTGACTTATGCGATCCTCGAAGGCCGCGAGGGCTTCGGAGGAACCTGGGATCTATTCCGCTACCCAGGAATCAGATCTGATACCGACCTGCATAGCTTTGGCTTCAGTTGGTTCCCTTGGGCGGAAAAGCGTGCCATTGCTGATGGAGGATCCATTGTGCGATATCTACGCAAGGCGGCAGAAAAGGAGGGCATTGATCGTCATGTCCAGTTTAAGCGCAGCGTCCTCTCAGCCAACTGGATGTCGGCAGAACAATCTTGGAGCCTGATGGTCGAAACGGATGCTGGTGAGAGTGTTGAGTATCAGGCACGCTTCTTGATCCTAGGCACGGGTTACTACGACTACAAGGAGCCGCTTGAACCTCAGATCCCCGGTCTCGACAATTTCAAGGGACAGGTCATTCATCCTCAGTTCTGGCCAGAACAACTTGACTACGCCGACAAAGAGGTTGTTATTATTGGCAGCGGAGCAACAGCCATCACGCTGCTGCCAAACTTGGCCAAGAAGGCAAAGCAGGTCACAATGCTGCAGCGAAGCCCGACCTATATTCTCTCCATTGACAATAGCACCGGCAATTCCTGGTTTCATCGAATGCTGCCGGAGCTATGGTCTTTCAAGCTCAGCCGTTGGGCATTTATCTGGACAACTGCTATCATCTTCTGGCTCTGCCGTGCTTTTCCCAATGCTGCTCGATCGAAGCTACAACGAGGGGTTGCACAGGAGCTTCCAGTACATGTCCCTGTGGACCCTCACTTCACTCCTCTTTATCGGCCTTGGGATCAGCGAGTCTGCTTCAGCCCTAACGGCGACTTCTTTAAAGCCATACGGGAGGACAACGCCCAGGTGGTGACAGATCATGTTAGCACAATGAATGAGGACACCATTGTCCTTTCTTCCGGCAACGAGCTGAAGGCGGACATCATTGTCACTGCTACCGGTTTGAAGCTCAAGGTCGGCGGGCGCATACACTTCAAAGTGGATGGAGAATCTGTCGAGCTTTCCGACAAGATGGCATGGCGAGCTGCCATGCTTAGCGATGTGCCCAACTTGGCTTTCATGCTCGGATACGTCAACGCCTCGTGGACGCTTGGAGCAGACACCAGTGCTCACCTCATCTGCCGCCTCCTGCAGCACATGCAGAAGAAAGGAAAGACGAGCGCTGTCCCACGATCGCCCAAACACACTCAGATACGGCCGATATGGAACCTCGATGCAACCTATGCCAAGAAAGCGCAGGAGACCATGCCAAAGTGTGGCGATTCCGGCCCTTGGAAAGGTCGCACCAACTACTTTTATGATCTTTGGCTTGCAAAGAACGGAAAGATCACAGCTGGGTTGGAGTTTTCAGCTGCTGAAAACGCCAAATTCTGATGGGGTTTGGAGTAGATTTGGTAGCATGAGAAGGTTGAAAGCTAGCCGAGGGAGGAAGGGATATATTATATGCCTACTTTATACTTGAAGACATTAGAAGGGAGCTTGATGTTAACCCAGTACTTGAACACCTTACGATGGGTTCTCTTGTAGCGTAACAGTACAAATGCCAATAGATATATCATACATAGAAGACTTCCGGATTACGGTATTCTCCCATAACATAGTACGAAAAATGAGGAATTCTAAAAGAATACGTTGAAGTCGCCTTGTACAGCTACCTACTTCACCCCGCTGTTATCGGATCGGCACAACCAATGAGTGGCCTTTGGTAAAGAAACGAGCTGGAGCAACATTCGGAGGAAGAAGCATCTCGAAGCTGCGAAGCGACGATATTCAGGAGGTCAGACAGATTTGATAGGCGACAAACACAGTACCATTTGATATCATCCCTCCCTTTCCTCAATCAACTCTAGGAGTCATTTCCCCTCTCTGCTGCGATAATTCCTCTCATTACATTCAGATCAGAGGGTAGCAGATCCTCGAGAGCGCTAGTCGATCCATCGGCCACAATGGTTGCATCTCCCGGCGCGCTCACTGCCAAAGCTATTCCTCCACGGTATGTGCCCTTTTCAACTAGGTCCTTCATCCGATCCGCAATCTCGCTCGGCTTGATCAGCACCACGTCAGGCTCGTCTTTGTTCTGACTCTCCATGATCTTTTGGAGAAGCGGCGTTTCGACGAGCCTGATATCATGTTAGAGCTGTTCGCGCTAATTTCCAGGGTTCGCTCACTTACCCAGGACAGATTCCGACGACTTTTACTTGGGCTTCAGTTTCAGCTTTCGCGAGACTCTTGATGAATCCGATTGTCCCATGCTTGCTAGCTACATAAAGCGCAGTAGCGAAATGGCCATTCACCCCGGCGATGGAAGATGTAATAATAACAACACCCTTCTTGTTCCTCCCGAGACATGCGCGGATTGCTATGCGGGTGAGTTTGATAGGGTGGCCGAGGTTGATATCGAGCTGAGCATATCTCTCAGTCTCACGATCACCCCAGAAACTGGACCACGCCTATTGATGAGTCAGATTCAGCTGAATTCCTGAGATATGCGTCCGGGAAGAGGGAGTCAAATACAGGCTCTCCGACACCAGCATTAGCAGCGTAAACATCCGGCACATCACCAAACTCCTTCTGAGAGAAGGGGACCAGAGATTCAAGATCATTCCATTTCCCAACATCGCACCGGATGAAGCGGGCATTGGGATCGTCGCTTATGAGAAGTTCGGCTGGAGGGGAGAGAACAAGGTCGGCGATAATCACCTTGGCCCCGCTGGTCAATGCCAACTTAGTGAAGGCGAGGCCAATGCCTATATACATTGGAATGACAAGCCGTTAGTTCTTTCTCACTCTTGGGTCACCAACGTAGAAGGACCCGTTTATCTCGTCTCATCACTTGTTGCGGATACTCACCTGATGCTCCGCCAGTGATGACCACGATTTTGCCCCCCAAGGGGAAGTCGCCTAGCATGTTGATGAGTACTGAAGTTTGAAAAAGCAGCTCTACAGGGTCTACGATTCAAAAAAGTTGCATGGTAGACAATGTTTGTATTAAGTCCAAAGAATTGGTGGAAGCGGGTATCATCCCAGGCACACGAGCTAGACCGAGTTTCGATATCACTGGCGGATGTGCTCCCGCACAGTCGCTCAGAACGTCGCAAGTCTCGCGGATCCCCAACCGCCAGTTAATAGCCCAAAAATCAATAAACCTTACCCGTGTATGTGAAACTATGATTACCTCGCAGACTTTGACTTGTATGTCGAGAGACTTGAGCCGTATCATTGAGCCATCCAGTCAAAGGACCCGCACATCTTCATAATGAGCTTACCTATCGAACCAGGAGTCCCTCTATGGATTGACAACAAGCCTGTGCATACAGACATTCAGTTTCCAGTCACGAATCATGCTACTGGTAAATCTATCCTAGCGTCTGGCATTTCACTGCAACTTGTCGATAGTGTGGTCGAAAGTTCTCATCGAGCTTTCGCAGGCTGGCGGAGCACTACGATATGGCAGCGGCAAGACCTTTTTCTCAAGGCAGCCAATCTTCTCGAGGAGCGGAGGGAAGTGGCTGAAAACATATTACGGGTAAGCAGATACCTGCTATTGCTTTGCCAGCGGAGCCTTGGGAACTAATTGGATAGGATAGGTCGAAATGCCCATCGACGATTTTGTCATACAGCAGATCAACATTCAAAGTTCCATCGAACTCCTACGGGAATTAGCCTTCCACGTGAAGGATACCGAGAGCGGAACTCTTCTTCCCAGTAGGCAAGGAACGGATTCCTTCGCCATGATCATCAAAGAGCCCGTGGGAGTCCAGCTCGGCATCGCGCCGTGGAATGTGTCCCTCTACCTTGGCATCAGAGCTGTGGCAACTCCGATCGCGTGTGGAAATACGGCCATACTGAAGGCTTCCGAGATGACTCCGCTGGTGCATAACTTCATCGGGATCCTATTCAGAGATGCAGGCTTTCCTCCAGGTGTCCTTAATATTGTGCAGCATCGGAGAGAAGATGCATCAGAAGTGCTCAACGCTCTCATCAGCGACACTCGCGTCAGAAAGGTTAATTTCACTGGCAGCGCCCCTGTGGGCAAGATCATTGCTGCTAAAGCGGCTGAGCATTGCAAACCTGTGCTATTGGAATTGGGGGGGAAGTCGCCACAGATTGTGCTTGAAGACGCGGATTTGGACAAGGCGGCTGAGGCTGCGGCCATGGGAGCGTTCGCTCATGTGAGTCCATGAAGAGTACATCATGCCAACTTTATTGCTAACCGAATTTCAATCAATAGCATGGGCAGATCTGCATGTCCACTGAAAGGATAATTGTCCATGCCTCGGTCCTTGGACAATTCTCGGAGAAGCTGGCCGATATTGGAAAAAAGATGAAAGTTCAACCTGGAGCTTCCGAGCAGCACGTCGCCAAGGTAACAAGGCTTGTTTCAGACTCACTCGACGCAGGTGCTAAGCTCCTCTTTGGAGAGAGGATCGAAACTCAAAAGTCGCATATGACTCCCCTCGTGCTCACCAAGGTTACCCGAGATATGCCAATCTGGCGCCAAGAGACCTTTGCGCCTGTGGTGATTTTGGTGCCGTTTACGACATTGGATGAAGCTGTGGAGTTGGCGAACGATTCAGACTACGGACTCTCGTCAAGCATCTTCACCGCTAGCATAGGTAGAGGGATCGAGCTAGCTCGGCGTCTTGATACAGGGGCAGTTCATATAAACTCGATGACTGTTCACGATGAGGCACATTTACCACATGGAGGATCTAAGGATAGCGGTTGGGGACGGTTCGGAGTCCCGTGGGGTAAGTATCTTATCTTTCATTACTTAGGTACCTGCCACATGACTCAGCGGCTAATCATAAACAGGCTTCGCAGAGTTTACACAGTTGAAGACTATTACAGTCAAAGATGAACATTTAGCAGGAGTTGGTAGCGGTTAGTTGCGGTGGCATTGCTTGTTGACGGATGTATTCTAGTGAAAGGGTAGGGTATAGTGCCGTTTAATAACTATAGCGATTATATAGGTAGTTAATTATAGGGATACCTACAAATCGGTGCTTGAACTCTCGTAGAAAGAATCCCTTTTGGGGGTGTTCTCGGCTGTTTGCATTGTTTAGGTGGTCGATGTGCCTGAACGGTAGTCCATCGGTTTCATTTACTCTTTTTTTTTTCTAAGATTTACCTTACAGGGCACGCATCGGATCCCACGTCGATCTTAACCCGCTCAGGCGCAGTTCACGGAACTGCTCGTGCGTGGGATGATGCCGAAGCGGAAGCAAAGAGATGTGTCAGCAGATTCGATGGTCACGTGCCTTCGGACCTCGGCAAGCACTAGGACTTGGTTCCGAGAATACTCCATTCCGATTGGTAAAGTCCATTTTCACCCCACTCTTTCCACATCTCATCCGAGAGTCCAATTTCCAGCTTCACGATTGATGTGAACAAACGGGATACCCTAAACCTATAACGAGACTCAAATTGTTGGGATAATTGTCACTCTACAGCCCTCATACCACATAAGTTAAGCCATACTTATGCTTCAATAAGTGCCGAGAAAAGATAGTCGAGAATTTATAAATTAAAATAAGTAAATGACATAGAGCTTAGGTGACACAAGCAAGGTCCATGGCATGATCCCGATTCTATATGCTATAATGGTTGATATCATGGTAATATTAATAATTGCGGAATTTTGATGTAAGGCTCCATTCATGTATATATGGAACATCAAGGATAATCTAAGGGCGAGTAATGGAACATCTAGATACAGCCCTACCAACACGATCTTCACTAGGAGACTATTTCATCAATACTTTTCTTGTATCTTTCTTAAACTTCTTCTGATATAATATCTATCTTGTCACTGCCTGTTAAAAATCTCTTAGTTTGGTTGCTCCCTATTTATGATTAAAAATTTCATCAAGCCTCGCATTTGTCGACGCGATCTCATCATGTCCAAACAACCACGGCTGAAAGTTCTTGCTGCTCAGACTGTTGGGGTTTGCCTTATCCAATGCCTCATCTATTTCCTCGTCGCGAACCTCGGCTGCCATGGCCGCGAATGCTCGGTCTCGGGCCTCTTGCTCAGGCCCATCATCCAAATGCCAGACGTAACTAGAGTCCCGCGTGCCTTTCTGCACGCGCTCGGCTCGTGGCTTACGGATATCCTCGTAAGCCCGCACGAGAGATGGAATGTCAGATGGACTCTGGGCACGAGCTAGGCATTCTGCAAGACATGCACCATCCTCAATAGCTTGTGCAGCCCCTTGGGCAAGGAATGGCACCATGGCATGGGCTGCATCTCCCAGCAGTACGACTTTGCCATTTTCACTGACCCAGGTCGGCAGATTGGGTAGATCGGCAATCTTCCAGTTGAGGCAGCTCTGCACCTTGCTCAAGACCTTTCGAATGACAGGGTCAAAGTCTTTGTAGTGTTCCCGCATCTCATCCAGGTTGCCAGGCTCATTCCACTTTCCAGGCGCAGCAAGGCCGCCAGGGTGAGAAAGTACGAGGTTGTACATACTACCCTTACGAATGGGATAGGCCATTATGTGGTGGCCGGGACCGATCCAACAGTTGGCATTGATATCCGTCATGAGATGAGCAATATCCGGGTCAGCAGACATGACCTCGACAGGGACAGTTGCGCGATAGGAGCAGTTCGCAGCTGGGCTTGGCTCTACGTTTCTGTCGCCAAGTAGTGCTTCTCGTGTTTTTGAGCGAATTCCGTCTGCTCCCACAATCAAGTCAGCTGTCAAGATGTCGCCATTGACCAGCCTGACGCTCGGAACGCTCACGTCAACCGCCTCCACGTAGCAGCCCAGGCGGACGTCGACACCTAGTTCCTTTGCCGCGTCAAAAAGAATCCCCTGGAAGTCGGCTCGGTGGATAAGCCAGTAAGGAGATCCGTATTTCTCAGAGAGGTGAGGGTGCAGAGGTGTAGTTCCCAGCAGTTCCCCCGTTTCATATCTTTTGAAAGCAAAATGCTGAGGCCAAACAACCTTTTCCAAGAACTTGTCCTTGAGGCCATAGCTGGACAATACTTTACTTGAGTTGGGAGGGATCTGAATACCGGCACCAACCTGAAGAAGACGAGTCAGATCGGGCTTAGTAAAATGCTAGAGGATATTCTTACCTCAGAAAGTGATGGAGCCCCTTCTAGGACTGTGACATCGTAGCCCTTTTTCTTGAGAGCAATGGCGGCTCCGAGACCTCCAAGGCCTCCACCGTTGATGATGACTTTTAGTTTGTCTCCTGGCTTGGCCATTTCGATTGCGATGTCAGGTGTGTTTTAGAGTAGCTCAATCTTCCAGAAGGTCGAGAACTGTAAAGTTGCCAACATTTTATTTCACAACAGGTAAACCTCGGCACGAATTGGAGCGTCGTAACTTTGTTGACTTACTTGAACATAGTGGTTCGGTTAGGACCTTGCCCGGAGCTCTCGGATGATCAACCGGATCACAGAATTTTCGGAAGCATCCCTCCGCATTACTCCACAGACTGATGAATGACGTTCCGAGCGCAATAGGGCTCGGTCAAGCAACTTGGCCTCCGAGTCTTTGAGTTCCGTCATGAGGTCGGATGCTTTGAAAACCTTGCATCAGCGCACCCGCTGATCTGTCTTGATGCCGGAGCATGCTCCACATGAATGAACACGAGGGGTGGTTGGAGACTTCCAGAAGCTTTTACACAAACAGATCAGGCCGGCTGCTTATGTGAAGACACTATGTTTGTGCCGGCGTTTTTTATCTCCGATATTAGAACCGCCCAAGACACAATATCGTCTCTTTGTTACCTTAAATCGTAGCCAACCCTCCTCGGCTGAGCTTGGGTACGAGCATATTTCACGACACAGGAATACACTCATTCTATCGATAGTTCCGTAGGTTAGTTGAGATGATTCTCTCTACGTCTTCGTTCTAATCAATATCATTCTTATTGTTATTGAGGACTAAACCTCGCACAACGGGGTGGGGGCGCTGTCTACAGATGGTAGATCAATGTTCATGCTAAGCTACTGCGCTGATTATTCACGGCTGCAGTACTCTTGTGACCACCAATGCTAGGCTCACTAGGTAGAGCCATGTTATCAGTTAGGCGAGCTGTCACGAAAAGAAGGAAGTCGCTCTGCGCGGCTCAGGAAATTTCTTGCTCTTTCTGCACTGGAAATATTGACGCCTGTCTGACTAGTAGTTGTCCTGAGTCCGGCTCCGGATGAGAGATTGGGGGCACGGCACCTCTGTTGCAGCCGCAAAGTTTGTATGTCTTTGGAATAGGCATAGATGCATAGCTGGTTAGACACAGTCTCCCCAATTGCTGGATCGTGCGGATGTGCATCCGCTAGCTTGAATCTGCCCTTGAGTCTTCCCCGTATCCCCGCAAGTCGGTTCGCGTGGCATCTTGATCTCCACGCGGGGAACGATCTAACTAAAAGAGTTAAGTGACGAACGTGTGCAAGACGCCAAAGGAATTTAGTATAAAGATAGGCTATCCTCCGCGGCTTAAGACTGTATCCATTTTCCATCCAATTCCTCTTCTTCATTCAATCCAATTTACGCCCAATTGAAGCCGCCACACTCCAGAGTTCGTCCACAATGTCAGCTATCAAAGAATTTGAGTACCGACCCCTTGCCGATGGCATGCTATTCGGGGAATCCCCACGTTACTCCAATGGCCTCTTATATGTCAGTGACATGATTGGTTGCACAATCTACACCATAAACCCAAAGTCCGGAGAGAAGAAGGTCTTGGCCAAGGTTGACCAACAACCCAATGGCATGTTCTTCCATCCGGATGGGTCACTCATCTACTCGTCCATGTTCGACGCTAAGCTGTATCGGCTGAAAGATGGAAAGACGACGCTGTATAGCGATCTATCTCATATCATGACGGGATATTGCGGCGACATGTACATCGACTCGGTAGGCAGGGTCTACCTAGACGATACGGGGGCCCGAGTTCTCCATGGAGAGGACCCTTCGCCAGGCCGCCTTATCGTTATAGATACAGACCGTACTGCCAAGGTGGCCGCAGAGAACATCGTCTTCCCCAACGCACTGGTAATTGCTAGGGACGGGAAAAGCCTGTTTGTGGCTGAGACGTTTGGCGAAGGGCTCTTGAAGTTCGACGTTGGACCGGGAGGCGAGCTGTCCAACAGGCGGCTTTTCTGGTCTCCCCGTTCCCTCCCAGACTTTGCCGCGAAGGACGCCGCCGGAAAAATGGTCAAGATCGATGGCGGGTGCATAGATGCTGAAGGCAACATCTGGCTCTCCATGCTGGGGTATGAAGAGTTCATCCGCATTGATCAGCAGGGCAACATCAACGCTCGAATTAAAGTGACTGGACACCCCACAGCTTGTTATCTGGGAGGTGATAATGGCAAGACACTATTTTTGGTGGTCAACCAGGTTCCAGAGGGAGAGAGCATCTTTACCGCCATGGTTGCGAAGAAAACCACCTCTGCGGTTGGAACAGCGGAGGTAGACGTCGGTTCCATCTAAATGAGTGCTCACTATCGAAAGAGTTCTACATCAGAAAAAACTACAAACTGGAGCCGTTGGATTCGAATTCTAAAGTAATAAATTGAATCCAAATTTAATTTACATATACTGAACTTATATTGTTTCGTTTCTTTAATTACGAGTCTCAAGTTGTTGCATTTAAGTAAATGAATACTTGAATCTGCTTATATTGCACCGATAGTCAAGATATATGCGCTACTGCTAGAGGATTCACTTTCATAATACTCATATTCGAGTTTGGTTTACAGCGACGGACGGCTAGGCTGGGCCTCTTTATCCTCCTTGCGAAGCTCAGCAATGACATGGTGAGCGTTCAATGCACCCTGCTCTAGCGCACCATCGATGAAGTTGCGCCAGGCATTGGCCCAGTCCGCGTTGGCGAAGAAGATGTTCCCCTGGCGCTTCTGCAGCGCGTCCATGTATTTAGTGGTGAAGTTGGGTGGCATGAAGTTGGGGCCGCCCTGAGTGTAAGGGTCAGTATTCCAGTTGTGGAAGACCTAAACAAAGAATTGGAATCAGTCAGCTATACTTATTTTATCTGTTATTGAGTTGGTCATGTAGTTTACTCACCACTGATTTGACATCAAAGGGGGCGAACTTCTTGAAGGCGGCGACGAGGCGTTCAGGCTGCTCTTCGAGAACGAACTCGTCGCGGTAGTCAGCACCAAAGGAGACAAGGTGAGTGTCCCCGTTCGGTAGGAGACCATCACCGTAAGCAGCCGACAGCTCATTGGGGTAGGCAAGCCCGTTCCACGAGGCGTAGCCAGAACCCTTGACGACGGCGTGGGCTTTGGTCATGAAGTTGATGTGGCCCTGGTTGGCAGCCTCTTGCCGCAGGCGAGACAGAGGAGGGTCGAACTGGATGGAGTTCAAGGTGTTGAGAGGAGCAGTGCAGATAATCTTGCGACCGCGAAAGACCCGTCCATCACGGGCGCGAACAAGATTCAGGCCCTCGTTGACCTGCTTGATGGCCTCAACGTGGGTACGAAAGGTATATTCAAGGCCAAGCCCAACAGCCTCCTCGAACATGAGGCGGGCGAAGTGGGACTGACCGTCGCGGAGCTTGTACAACAGCCAAATGGGATCCATCATATCATAGCTGTGGCCATTGATGGCGTGGCTGCGGATCATGTCCCAGAAGCCCGAGTTCTTGAGATCGGGCTTGCCACCGGTGATGGAAAGTAACAGGGCCTTGAGAACACCCTGCTCCTCGGTGTTGAGCTGGCCTTTGATGGCCTCGAAGCGGTCCCAGCAAGAAATAGAGTCCCACTTCTCGACATCCTTGCGGTTGACGAAAGGGTTCTCAAGCTGAGCGTGGGGGAGAGGGCAGACGGTGCGGCCCTCCTGGCCATCAATGTCCACGAACAGCCTCCAGACTTTGCCAATAATCTCGCCAGAGAGCTCGTTGGAGATATCTCGCTTGGAGCCTATGAATCATTCCCATTAGCCACCGCCCCCTTCGATAATCCTGTACGATAGGTCTATGTTTACCTGGGACGTTGATGCTGAAATAGTTGTTGGCCTGCGTGTCATCGCGCGTCTTAATCAACTTGGTATGAAGATCGTAGCGCATGAGCTCGCGATAAGTATACGGCTGAGTGTGATGAACCCAAGTACCGCCCATCTCGTAATTGAAGCCCTCGTGCTTGATAGTGTAGGTTCGGCCACCAATACGGTCCCGGCCTTCCACGACGAGAACTGAACGGCCTGCGTATATATTGTCAGTGGATATCCCGGGAAAAGCTTCAATAAGATATTCAACTTACCGGCATTGACTAGGTCACGAGCCGCAATTAGGCCAGCATATCCAGCTCCTATGATGATCACATCGTAGACATGGTCCTGGGCTGCCTTGACTTGTCGAGGCCGCGAAATGACTCCCTCTGAAATGTATCCACCGCTCTGTAGGCCTTTCTCGGGGGTCCAGATGTGAGACTCGGAGGTGATGCCGGACATGGTGGGCTCCAATGGGTGGGCTGGCAATTTTGGTGAATTTTCGAAGTTGAACTATCCCGTGTGATTCAAGATTAACTTCTTCAAGCTTAACCGAAGACTACACTGTCTATATCTCACAGAGGATCTAGATATTTATGTTCAGGGCTCTTTGTCGGTGAAAAACTGTTCGTCTTAACCATTGACCCGAAGTACAACCCCCTGTCTCTGAAGCCACGGTCTTAGGTCTTGTTGGGTGGAGAAGTGGTGTGATATTATAACATCCGTGGCATCCGGTAGAATTGGGTAAATGTCGCGGTTAATAAGAATATGGTATAACAAGGGGGAGATGAGGAGAAACGAGGAGAAACGAGCGCGATCTACTACTGACTTGGGGAGGAGAAGACAAGGAAGAATGTTGAAGTCTACAAGTAGTAATGTGGATCTAGATCTGATTGTCTCCACCGGCGGCTATTTAGAACCGAATCAAGTAAGTGTCTTGAGTTGGTCTGCAAGGTTCCGATAGGCACCATATCCGACCATCCTCTACGCTCTGTTCGTGCTATCCTGGCTGTGTGCTTGTTTCTCCATTAAGAATGGTTGGTACTCTTGGAATCTGGTTGTCTAATGACGTCGCACCCTCCTCGATTTTACACCAAGATCTCGAGAAAACCCACTTGCTCCAAAGTCATCATTATTCAAAAGTGATGCTCTTTCTTTTTCGATTCTACTCTCACCAACACATTCAAAAATGTCTCTAGAAGCCCCCGAGAACAAACCAGTCCTGGAGGCCTTGAGCCTCAAAGGCAAGACTGTCCTTGTTACAGGTCAGTCAATACCTTATCCCTATTGGCCCATCTAAAGACCGAGATCGCCAACTTGTCTGCATATCGTGTAGGAGGCTCCCGTGGAATTGGCCTCGAAGTTTCCCGTGGCATGGCCGAGGCTGGGGCCAACGTAGCCATCGCATTCCGATCATCTAACAAGGCTGGGAACGAGGCTGCGGCCGAACTGAGGGAGAAGCACGGTGTCAAGTCCATTGGCTACCAAGCAGACGTGTCCGACCCAGCTGCCAACGACGACCTTGTGGCTAAGGTAGTCAAGGACTTTGGGCGCCTGGATGTCATTGTGATCAACGCGGGCATCTCTGACTGTTTTGATGCTATCGACTCGAGTCCCGCCAAATATCGTGAGCAGTTGGCCGTAAACTTGGACGGTGCTTTCTACAGTGCCCAGGCTGCTGCCAAGGAGTTCAAGAAGCAAGGCTTTGGCAACATCATTTTCACAACATCTATCAGCGCCGTGATCGTCAACCGCCCCCAGAACCAGTCGATTGTAAGAACCCCTTGCCCACTACGCGCGACATGCGAGCCGTTACTTACCATTGATACAGTACAATGTCTCCAAGGCTGGGCTTCTCCATCTAGCCAAGAGTCTGTCCATTGAGTGGATTGACTTCTGCAGAATCAACTGCATCAGCCCCGGCTACATCGCAACAGAGATGGTACAGTACGATCCAGAGGAATGGAAGCGCCAATGGCTTTCCGAGACACCCAGCCGCAGATTCGGCCAGCCTTATGAGTTAAAAGGGGTAGGTCGCCAGCATGAGTTCATTAGGAGATCATAGAAGACTTTATACTGACATCCGCGTCCCAGGCTTACGTTTTCTGCGCATCCGATGCATCAAGCTTCATGACAGGTGGTCACATTGTGATAGATGGTGGATACACGGTCGCATAGACTGAAATCAAATAGATATTTGAGACGACCCTGATTAATTGCTGTTGAATGTGATCCCTATTTAGATTTGAGCTACTAAGAAGGGTCAGAAGTGACGTCTTCAAGACCTAGTCAAGCATGTATAGTTCTACATTGCTGTGACGCCCTCAGCCTTGTACTACCTCCGGTGTAGCTACTGTTCAATGATTGTGGGAGCGAAACCCAAGTGTTTCAATTTTATTGATTCGACATTAGTTACGACGTCGCAGGCCTAAGATCTCTCCCCGAACAGGGGAGATCAAGCCGACGGCTCCATTCCAAACCCAACTGTGTACCTTCATTCTGCCTAAACATATTGCGACACGTGGGAAAGTGACCCGTAGATATCTCCCTTAGTACGAATCGAGATCTTACTGGAGGAGGCAGGCTAACTCAGCATGTTCTTTGAGGGGTACTCTAGTCAACATACATAAATACTCTCTCCCACGTTGAGGAATCGTTGCAGCAAGCAGTCTAAAGCATCAACCGATATTCGATGTAAGCTGGCCTACTTAGCCACATCTAAGTACTGAATCGTTCTGATTATTGTTCTGATTCTACGCTGACCGATTGTATTATAGCCGCAAACATGTCAACACCCCGATTCTCGTCTCTTTCTGGCCCTGCCGGCACCATGTTTAGCGACAACGGCATCGCACACGCAGTCGTTCTCCCAGCGAACGCCAAGATCGTCATCACATCCGGCGAGCCTGGCCTGGATCTGGAGACTGGCAAGGTCGTGACCTCATCTGTCGAGGCTCAGTTCCGCGCCGCGTTCAACACCGTAGACGCGGCGTTGAAGAACGCCGGTGTGAAGAAGGGCATCAAGGCAGTGCACAAGTTCACGGTTCTGATGATTGACATGAAGGAGGAGGATATTTTGATGAAGGTCTGGCAGGAGGTGGCCCCAGGCCAGCAGGCAGTTTTCATGGCGTTTGGCGTTAACCACTTGGGCTTGGAGGGAATGCGCATTGAGCTCCGTGCCGAGGCTGTTCTCGAGGAGTAGTAGTCTATCACAGTAAAGAATCCAAGAAAGATTGCTATCCAAGTTAGGAAATTTGTCCTCGCACTTGTATGGAGCAGTAGCCGCTTAACAGGCTAAGGAGCCCGCATGAGTCAATACCACTCGACACTTGTGGAGTCAACGAGGGGCAACAAGGAGCAGTGGATAAGATACAACCAGCAGACATGCCTTGTCTCCTTCTTTAAACAAGCGTCAAAGCCTACGTCCAGCTAATCAGGTGCAACTCTTACCTTGTTGGGAGTTGTTCTCAAGAAGGTCCACAGAGGAGATCTGATGCAACCTTGGCGATATCAAGGTTCCCCTCTCCCCACATCCAAGCTTCGGGTTCATCTGTGGAGATGTAGACTTATCCTCATTCGGGATTTAATAGCCGCCGCTATCTATGGTGACTCGCTGATCTTCCTTGGGCCTCGTGATAGCATGGGCCCAACATGATATCTTTAGGCCCGCTCTGTCGCAACTCTTCCTTTTTTCGTTCCGCAACTCTCATCTCAGCTGGTCAGATACAAGCGCAGATTCAACCATGGCTCCTCCCAATTGGAGTCGTACCGGATGCATCACCTGCAAGCGTAGGCGCAAGAAGTGCGATCGGGCACAGCCGGCTTGCAACAGTTGTGAGAAGCGTGGGATCCAATGCGAAGGTTACCAGCAGGTCTTCATTACTCAATCTCCGTGGGGTCACCGAAGGATCACAGAACCTCGCTCCAAGGCAAAAGGAAGACCCAGCACAACTGCCTCCGATCCTGCTCCGAGGGAGACTGAATCAGAACCGACACGTCCCTTTCCCTCCGGCAAGGTCAGCCCCCAGCAAGAGATTTCTTGGGTCCATCTTGTTGCTGACCCGCCGACATTGAGTACCAGCCAGGGTCACTCTGAATGTGGTCCATATCAGCTTGCCACAGCAGAAACAGAGTTACTGCTGGCTGATTCAAACTTTTCGAATGCGCTTGTAGAGAGAGAAGACCCAACAGACAAGAATTACAGCAATAATGATACTATATCTGTGCCTACACCTGAGGAACAGGACGCATGTACATCTCCACAAGAGGAGACACTACACCTCCCTTCTCTGGAAGAAGACTCAACAGGTCACCTGGACTCATTGTTCTCATGTGCGGAAGGCTCATCCTCAACAGATGTGGAAATGAGAAACGCTATCATTGATGCGACGCTTTTGCTACCAACACTAAGCGCCTTTCCCAACGTCACAGATCAAGACTTCTACTATCTACAGTATCTCGATGAGCAAGCAGCTACGCAGTTACTGAATGTAGACTCCGGAGTTTTTAACCCACTTAGACGACTCATTCTGCCTAGAGCTTTAGATTGTCTAGGTGTACTTTACGGTGTTTGCGCGGTTGCTGCCTGTCACCAGGCTCAACGGTCCGACCCGGAGACTCGTATCGATCAGAACATTGTAGCCACCAGATTCTATGTCAAGTCTGTCAACTGGCTTCAGTCTACAGTTGGTAGACAGGCAGCCCATCTCGATTCTCAATGCTCGACATGGGATGATGCGTCCGTCATTACATCCTTGTTGCTTTGCAAGTACGAGATCATCAAGGGAAGCTCGGCACACTGGAGGGACCATCTTGATGGCCTCGAGTTATTAATACAAAAAAAAGGCGGCATTCAAAATTTGGAAGTGGAGTGTGCTCAATATGTTGCAAGCTTGTATGTGCTCACCCTTACTATCTTCTGTGCTTTACTCCAAGCTTAGAAGCCATGCTAACGTCGGAATTCCATTCCAGTTTGCGATACCATCGCATGATTGCAGACATCTGTCACCTCGACAAGGCTACAAATGGCCAAGAAAACAGTGGCTTAGATATTATGGCGACTTCTACCTTCTCCCTTGATGTATACTCAGGGTGCGCACACCACCTTCTAAAGACTTGTCATGATATTGCTCGGCTGGCCAGCCGACTGGAGTCTCAAGAAGCCGTCACCTATACAGACTTCGCAGAAGCAGAGGCGCGGATGTACGTTTGAGTCTAACGAGACCTTCCCTATACACTCGCCTCTCCTACTATAACCATTGGAATTTTTATGCTAACTTACATCTAACAAACAGCATTTCTTCGTTGGGCACTTCAATTATCGAACCCGAGGTACAGTGTCTGTCTGATGGCACCACCGTATCGCAAATCAGTAGATTGCTTTATGTCGCGCAACGTACCAGATACGCCGCCTTTGTCTTCCTCCACTCAGTCGTTGAGCGAGGAATCGAACTATGCAAATTTGAAACCGCCGAGAGGGATGCTCTACGGCTCCAGATACCATATACCAAGTCACAGGCTTTGGACGGATGCCTTGAGATGCTTGCCGAGGTCCCAATCGCCCAACACTGCGAGTTTGCTGGACTAGCACTTGCATTCTTCCTCGCCGGGTGTGAGGTCGAGGACGAACATAGGAAATATCTTGTACTAGAGAAGCTTTTTCTTATCCAGCGCAGTTTCGGACTCGGCCACATTGCCAGTGCGAATGAAGCGCTCATGATGATATGGCAGCGAGACAGAGGGGCGAAGCCGCAAGTTTGGTGGAATACGATGAGAGACACGGGCTGGGAACTGATCTTATGTTAAAACTTAACCTGAAATAGGTAGATAGGGGAAAGAATTGTAGCATTGATCCTTGTCTCTTATATACATAGAGCCAACTCCCTCCCCAATTCGACGCTGCTGGGCTACCCTACACAGGTGCGTGAGCTTTCGTAGTTGACCGAGCTTCATGAATCTCTGCATTCGCATCTTAAAACTTTGGTTTTGATTTCCGACCTTGCTTCATTGTTAAACACGAAGGATTCCAACCGACTTCTCGTATTTTCATTATTTACAAACTTCCTTGTTTTGCAGCCACATGCTTGCCTGTCCAACCATGTACATACATAACGTTTGATGTGACGCTGAGATCAAGATCATTATCAAGCCCTTATCCACTACTTTCCCCAGGTTCGACTGCCCTAAGCGCATCTTGTCTGATGAACACCCCATATGGTCCTTCTTTTCACAGGCGCAAGTCTGACCAAAGTTGGTCAATGGTCTGGCATGGTAGATACGGCAAACGGCTGGGCCTCTAGACTCCAGAGGCGCGACTGTTTCCCCTTTAGGATGGGTTTGCCGCCAGTCTCTTCAAATGGGGGTGCTTCAGCTGATTCTAGCCTTAACTTTATCCCACCGAGTCAGGAGGGGATATTCGATGATGGAGACTGGGAAGAGAGGGGTACTCCTAGCAGAGTGGTGGAGAAGATCTAGTGATCGAGCTGGCTTAGCCTCTTGTAGCAAGTTCTATCACTTGCTAGATATTGAAGACTCGTACCCCGGCCAGTGCGTATCTTCTTTGACTCCGAGTGACCATCTCGCCCCGCAAATGGTGAGATTTACCAGATCCAGATCGGCCCCCTTGCAAACCCCAAATTGGCAGGACTCGCGCTATCGATGGACAAGTGCTGCTGGATCTTGAGTTTCTGTGGCTGCAACTCTACGACAAGAGGCAAGAATTGGATTGCTTCTAGACGATGGGTTCTTCTTATTGTAGAAGGCCTGAAATATATACCAGTAGATTCCCGCCTTCTTTCGCTCAATCAATCTTCTTATTATCCCTGAAAAGAAGTTCTTCATCTGAGAGCCAGTTTCTTAGCCATCCTGAATTTAAGCAAGGTGTAATTCGAAGTAACCAGCAAAAATGAGCACCTCCCAGCTCCACCCCTTCGACACTTTGACGCCTGGAGAGATCCAGCTAGGAGCCGCTATTCTCAGGAACGCCTTCCCTGGTGTTACTCTACGATTTAAACGTATCGACGTCCTTGAGCCTATCAAGAAGGATGTTGTTCCCTACCTTGAGGCTGAGCGCCTTGGCCAGCCCCTCCCTACTAAGCCTGCTCGACTACTCTTCTCCTACTTCCACCGTCTAGACACACTGGGCTTCTTCAAGGCTGTTCTCAATGTCGAGACTAGGCGCCCCGTCTACATCAAGGAACTCCCCAAGGATGTCCAGGTAAGATTTTCTGTGCTCCAATGAGCAAACTGGTCGGAACATTTCAAACTAACTCGAACACAGGGTCCTGCCGATGTAGATGAACTCATCGAGATTGAAGAAGCATGCATGAAACACCCGGCTGTGCTTGCTGAAATCGAGAAGATGCAGCTTCCGGCTGGCTACACTGTTTGCAATGACCCTTGGATCTACGGCACTGACAGTGCCACCGAAACTCGCCGTCTCGCCCAGTGCTACATGTACATCATTGAAGTCGACCATCCCCAGTCTAACCACTACTCTCTTCCCTGCACTTTCTCTCCTGTTTTTGATCAGGTCACCAAGGAGCTCGTGCGCATCGACTATCTCCCTACTGGCAAGGACGCCAAGACCCAGCCAACCCAGCCCTGGAAGCCAGTCAAGTGCGTGCAGTACGCTCACGACTTGCTGGATGAGCCCACACGTACCGACCTGAAGCCTTATATTGTGCGCCAGCCCGAGGGCCCCTCATTTAGTGCTGAGGGTCAGGAGGTTAGTTGGCAAAAGTGGAAGTTCCGCGTCGGATTCAACAACCGTGATGGTCTGATCATCTACAATGCCACCTTTGATGGCCGTCAAACTTTTTACCGTCTTTCCATGTCTGAGATGACTGTCCCCTACGGAGGTAAGCATCTATTCCTGAACCTAACACTCTGGCCTCAGGCTCAATTAAGATACACTTTTCGCTAACCTGGTGATACTCTGTTAGACCCCCGAAAGCCTTACCACCGTAAGCAGGCTTTCGATGCTGGTGATGTCGGTTTCGGCATTACTGCCAACCAACTCGCCCTAGGATGCGACTGCCTGGGCCACATCAAGTACTTTGACGGGTACAGGTGTGATTCCCGTGGTAACCCTGTCCTGCTGAAGAATGTTATATGCATGCATGAGCAGGATAACGGACTTCAGCATAAGCACAGCAACTACCGTAACAACGAGGCTACAGTTGTGCGCAACCGTGAGCTCGTGCTGCAAATGATCTGCACAGTCTCCAACTACGAGTATGTTCTCGCTTGGATCTTTGATCAGGCTGGAAACATTGAGCACGAGGTCCGTGCTACGGGCATTCTCTCCACCATGCCTATCGACAATGACGGCACCACGGTTCCTTGGGGGACTATTGTTGGCCCTGGTGTGATGGCTGCTTACCATCAACACGTGTTTTCTCTCCGAATCGACCCCGCCATCGATGGGCACAACAACACGGTGTTCTATGAGGACAGTGTTCCGATCCCTGTTGATGAGCTTAACCCTTACGGCATGGGCTACACCACCGAGAAGACCATCGTCAAGTACGCAGGTTTTGCTGACCTCAGCGTGGAGAAAAATCGTACTTTCAAAATTCGCAACGATAGCAAAATCAACCCTATCTCTCTCAAGCCGATTGCTTATAAGCTACATGCCGCTCCTAGCCAGATGCTGCTTATGAGCGCAGACTCCTTTGCTCGAAAGCGAGCTGCATTCAGCGAGCACGCTGTGTGGGTCACCCGCTATAAGGACGATGAGCTATATGCTGCTGGTGAATTTACCAACCAGAGCCGTACCGACACTGGTCTTTCCGTCTGGGCTGCTCGTGGCGATGAAACCGAGAACACGGACATCGTGCTCTGGTACACATTCGGTCTCACTCATAATCCACGCCCTGAGGACTTCCCCGTTATGCCTGCCGAGCGTATCAGTGTCATGCTGAAGCCTGATGGTTTCTTCACGAAGAACCCGGCTCTTGGTGTCCCTGCTAGCAATCAGACCTTCAACAGGTCGACGCTTCATGAAGAGAGCAAAGCTTCTTGCTGTGCTCCTACGGCCAATTTGTAGGGGGCTTTATGTGTAGACAGGTCTTGCATAGACAGCATCATGAAATAGTTTGTTTTACTAGATATAGTTACTAAGAGTAGTACACGATTTGCTGCTATTGCTACGTTCTTCCGTTTCATTCTATTTGAGGGAGAATCGAGTACCTAAGAAAAACGCGGATGCTCATCATCACCATGTACTCCTAAATACTCCTAGGAAGATAACATAAAACCCTCGCTTTTGTAAGGCTTTCTTAGGCAAGAACTCTGAGAAAAAAATAAGACCTCATTGTTACTAAAGGGATAAGTAGATTGCGAGATATTCTGTGATGCCTTTCTCATGTAGAGCCTAAAATCGCTCAGACTACTGAACTATTCCCTGTACAATCTGTGAAATCTCTCATTTCTCTTATCTCATTATAGGTTTTAGAAGACACGGATGTCTGGTAATGTGATCCCCACTTCAAACGTCATCATCGTCATGGGACGTCAACCAGAAGTCCAGGGCTGGAGATATCGCCGTCTTCTGCGTAGCGAGATTAGGCTAGTGAAGGTATTGAGATTAAAGGAGCAAAAAGGCAATGTGGAATGGTCGGAGGACGAGAATAGTGAGGCAGTTACTAGGATCACGGCCCAGACGGCACGAGGCTATCGCAAGTCCGAGACCGTTCGTGATCCAGCCGAGACTTCACCCAACTAGGCATATTCTTAGCAGGTTACCCCGCACTCTCACTTTATCCGGTCGCCAAGTCTAGGAGATACCAGATTGCGGGATGGATTTGTCTAGGCGAGGCTTGAGTTGGGTCACTCAGCTCCTGCTGATAAGGGTGGGCGTCTAGTAGTCTCCATTGGCCGGTTCACGGCAGACTCCCTTTAACCGGCCCACCACCTAGTGAACTCTGAGTCGTCGGCTCTCGCGCTACTCGCATGTGTGTGCCCGTTGTTATCAGGGCAAAAGACGGCGGCAATGGAAAACCTAATATGGCAAGCTTCTGGGCAATGTTCTCCGCTCATGCTATAGACCATGACATGGGGTTCTGCTTCACGAGATACCTCGTTTTGAGTATAAAACCAACCATGAGTAAGTACGTTGTGCTTTTGAACAAAACGAGCTGCTTAAGTAGATACAAAGACAACCACATCGTTCACCAACACAACTCCATATTCTTGCTTCAAGCCCGGATCGATCATGACAGTTTCTCCTAAAGTCGGTATAGGCAAGGCCCACCAAGCGGCCGATGATCAGCTTAATAGAATGGGCTACGAGGCGGAACTACCTCGTCGCCTAAGTCTCCTAAGTATTTTTGGGCTGTAAGTAGCAGTCGGATGTTGGACTTGTGGAAAAGCCTGCTTCTAATATCTTTGCTCTTCTCAGGTCATTCGCAATTATCGCAGCTCCCTTTGGCCTGAGCACGACGATGGCCCTCCCCCTCGTAAACGGTGGACCGGTCACCATTATATATGGCTGGTTGCTCGTTACCTTCATCTCGCTGTCAATCGCCGCTTCTCTTGCTGAAATTTGCGCCTGCTATCCGACCGCCGGTGGCCTGTATTACTGGTCTTATATTCTGTCTAAGCCCAAGTACGCTTCCATCACTTCGTGGGTTACTGGTTGGTTATTGCTTGTGGGAAACTGGATGTCGACGTGCGCCATCACTTTCGGGGGAGCTCAACTCATTCTCTCTGGAGTCTCCCTGTTCGATGGGGAATTTGTGCCCACACCCTGGCAAACCGTTCTGACGTTTTGGGGAGTTTTATTGCTTTGTCTGCTTGTCAACCTATTTGGTGTTAAGTACCTCGATCTCGTCAACAAGCTTTGCGTCTACTGGACGGTAATCTCCTGTGTGGTCATCATGATCACTTTGCTAGTCATGACTAAAGAGAAACGATCCGCCGAGTTTGTCTTTACCAACTTTGACACGTCGAGAAGCGGAATGTGAGTATCTTGCTCCTCCTCCTACAGATATACGAACAACCCTTTCCTAACACTCTACCAGGCCTAGCGGATGGTCATTTGGCATCGGACTTTTGCAGGCAACATACACCCTAACAGGCTATGGAATGATCGCCGCCATGTGCGAGGAGGTGCAGAACCCACAAAAGGAAGTCCCCAAGGCTATTGTATTGTCCGTGGTAGCCGCCGGCATCACCGGAATCGCCTTCCTCATCCCCATTCTATTCGTTCTCCCCGATATCGACTACCTCCTCAACGAAACCAACGGCATGCCAATTGGATTCCTCTTTGCCAAAGCAACTGGCTCGCCCGCTGCTGGACTGGGCCTTCTAACCGGAGTTATCGGAACTATGATTTTTGCGGGAATCGCCGCGCTTACGGCCTCCTCTCGCTGTACTTACGCCTTTGCCCGTGATGGCGCCATCCCAGGATCATTGCACTGGAGGAAGATACATCACGGTCTCCAGGTCCCTGCGTACGCTTTGGGCCTTAGCTCACTCGTCATTGCTTCCATGGGTTGTATTTACTTTGGATCAGCAGCGGCTTTCAACGCCTTCACTGGAGCAACGTGTATTTGTCTATCCGCATCTTTTGTTTCTCCAGTCCTCATCTCTCTCCTTGGTGGACGACGCCGGGTGCAACATTCCACCTTCTCTCTCGGGAAATTCGGCTATCTTCTCAACCTTGTGTCAGTCTGCTGGGTCGTCGTGGCCTTCGTTCTCTTCTCCTTCCCGGCCCAACTCCCAGTAACGGCGAGCAGCATGAACTACACGAGTGTTGTGTTTGTTGGATTTGCTGTCATCAGTGTAGTGTATTATACTGTGAGGGGTCGTAAGAGCTTTGAAGGGCCTCCGGTTACGGATATCATGCAAATTATTGAGGGCGACGAGCTTGGCTCTGCGGCTGCTGTAGCCAGTGCCACAAAGGCCGCGAAGGACATCGAGTGCTAAGTAGGGCATATATTAGGAAGGCGGTACAGCATTATGCTAAGAGAAATAGTAGTCATGTTATCTTATACCTACCTGCACAATACTTCAGAGATATATTTTACAGGGCACAAAAAAATCCCACAACAGGACCTGAAGTGACAGAAACATTTGTCTATATCTGGGTCACGTAGTACACATTCCTCGCTCGCGGAAGATGGGACGGTCGAGGTTGGTAATATTTTCCAGATGCCCACATTTGATACCTCGGCTAGCAAATACAAAAGCACTTTACGTTGTCGTGATATATTTGGATTATGCTATCGAACCACCGCGCCCAGCCAAGTCAACCACCTCTGTACACACTGAGTCACTTTTATATAGCATAAAAGAATGAGTTGGGTTCTAAAAAAAATACCAATAGATAAAGGTATACTCCTTGGGCAAGAACAGCCTGGTAGGGTGTGGTATCGATGATTATGTGATTTTATCTTCTATATTTTGATACAGCGCCCTGAGGTAGCGGTCTGATCGCATAAGTCCAAATATGTCAGACATATTATACTTTTTTCCTTTATTTATTTCGCAGTTATAGAATTTGCCTTGAAATAATATGGCGTTAAACTGATTCCTTATAACAAGGCCACCGGGAAGTCAGCCATATGGTTCCCAACTCCCGGCCATTGCGTAGCTATAGTTCCTATGCGCCGCGAGATTGTGCCATCCTCCATGCTATCGTCCTGTTTCCATTTCTGCGATAACAAATCCGCGCTTTTACTCAAAATATCAGATCTCCACCAGGACTCGTAGTTTCTCTTTAATCGTCCTATGATAAGCCGGCGATGTGAAGGAACAATAGCTGACATGCCAGCCACGAACAAGGGCCAGGTCAGGATGTTGTTCGCCGGTGATGATGGCGGTACAGAATTGAGAGTTGATATAAAGAGCGCTATTTCGTTTTGTATAGCCTCTGAGCTGTCCTCAAGTTCGGCGTTAAGCATCTTCTCGACGTATATCAGGCAGGCAATTCGATAAAGCTCTGAAACTGCCATGTCGTTGGAAGCTGCTGTTTCTTCAGTTTTGATATTAGTAGTATATCCTCGCTCAAGTTGAGATTTCAGGTCTCTAAGCTCCGTAACGTTCGTCTCATCAAGATCGAAAGGTGAGATTAAGCGTCTTTGTAGCATCGAGACTCGAAGGATAAGCGAGAAGATTTCGCGGCATTGATTCCCAAGCAAAACACCTTTGTAGCCCTCAGGCGCGGAGAATAATGTAGTAAAGACTCGGGGGGTAATTAGATGCAGTGGGAGGCTATGGCCGTGAGAGAAGGAGGTCAGTGTGAGTAAGTAACAAAGGACTTCGAAGAATAAGCCCCTTAGTTCGGTATTTAGTGTGTCGCTGGCGAAGGATTGGCCGTTACATAGAGTGACAGCAGCGACCAGATGGGGGAAGATTCGACTAATCGTAGAGAAATTCACTGCCTGTACAATTCTTTTAGTTCTGGGATTACTGCTCTATTTATCAAGGGCATCTTACTTCGTGTACGCAGAGGAGAATAACAGCTAGAAGCAGCTCGTCTCCTAACTGGGCACTTGGATGTGGGCCGGGATTGTTGGAAGAATGATGACTATTGCTACCGGAATATGAGCTCGACTTTCCTGGCGAGGTTAAGCCCGGTTGCAATGTAGACGAGATTTTATTTTTGAGCGCGGAATGGATGCCTGCTATGGCCTGCCCGTAGAATCCGCACGCCAGGCTGTTCATTTCAGTATTTGCTGGTTGGTATTTAGCCAAGTCGCCTGCGGCTACCGTCAAGAGACAATTCATAACCAGCGGACTTTGAAGGGCGACCGGGATGATGACACCGGAGGAGGCTTCGACATTGCCGCCGGACGTCAGCCATAGAGGACCGTTGGTGTTAAAGTAAGACAAAAGTCGCTCCTGGATGGGAGTTGATGGTATGGCAAACACTGTTACCAAAGGCTGCATCTCCTGGGGAAGTGTGAAGTCCTTGTTGAAGTTGTGGGAGCGGCGAGCGAGTTGACGTCTTCGACTCGGGTTCCGCTGCCAGTTACAGGGGAGATCTCTCTCGATACAGGCCAGGCAACGCGGATGCTGCTCGTCGCATTTTCTCTTGCGCTGGCGGCACTGCTGGCAGCCATTTCTCGATCGGCATGGACTGATGGAACTCTCCGGCAGCGTAGGATTGGGCAATACAGACTGTTCAAGGGACATATTGTGGATCAACAAGGCTATCCACCGAAGATCAAGCGGTCTTGCACTCGGCTTAGAGAAGGCGAGATGGGAGATGCAGGTTAATAAACGAGTTGAGTAGGTGTGAAAAGAGAGAGAGGGGCCGTTATCATGCATCATTACGTACCGGCCAAATTAGCCTGATTTTATCACGCAGCCCCGCATTTCTTCGGGACTCGGGAGGCTACGATAAGCGAAAGAAACCCCATAAGAATGATGGTAGTTGAGTACAAGGTGATTGTTAGAAGACAGAAATTTCCATCATATAATGCTTCTTTTACTCAAGTAATGATAATAAATGCCTAGAAGTATGAATAGTCCTCATTTCCAGGCAAGGGCCGGAGATAGAGCATAATTAACCTCTTCTCGCATCCACCATGTCCGCCGTCTCACGCATCATTTGTGTTAGAAGCGCCCGTTGTGATGCGAGCTCTAACTTTGCCTTCATCTGATCCAACTTATTCTGAGCTTCACTCAATGCGAGCCGTGCCTCTTGTTGCCTCGTCCTAGCCGCCTGGACTGCTCGAGCACCCGTCTTAGGTATTGCAAAGTATCCTCACCCGACATGGCTCCGTAGTAGTTCTCCAACGTCTGACGTACTTCCGTGGACACGTCCTCCATCGCATCCTGCAGCTTTAGGTCATGAGGGGCAGTAGACGAAGCTGCTCCCCCGTGTGCCCGATTTGGGAGTTGATTGACCAAGAGGATGGGCTCGAGCCATTCCTTGAGAATATTGTATCGGCTAGTGGTGGCATTGCTGCCTGGCTGCAGGGACCGGTATGCGTCCTCACAGCTCTTTACCTCGGCGTCAGCATTGGCACACTCAGCTTGTGCCTCTTCAGCGTCATTCTGTATTCTTTCAAATTCAGATTTCATGACAAAGTACCCCTCCAATGGGATTCTCTCTAAGTTGCGGCGCAGCGTGTCCATGAAACTCTGGAGTGTCTGCTGCAAATGCCGAACTTCCTTGAGCGCTTCATTGATGCTGCCTGTCTCTGCTGGGGTTGCAGTGCTCGCCTGCGTAATATTGTCCGAGACACTGACCCTGGGGCGTTTGCGTGGCCCTTGATCGACAAAGACGGTGTCATCACCTCGGAGGCGACCAGCATCACGCAGTGGCAGCGAAGAATCTGATCGGGGTTGCGAGCTGAGGACATATACTGTATACCTCTAACACAGCTTACGCGCCTGAATTTTGGGACCATGTCGGGGAGGCTCCGGGGGATGCACACTCCGCCATCTGGCCCAAGATACCGTTGACTTCCCAAAGTGACGAGAGGCGGGCATTGTGCTGAGTACAGAACCGAGTGATGCTGGCCAAGTCGAGGATGTCGGTCGAGGGCAGGTTCTCAACCGTGCAGTAAGAGCCGTCCGGGCGTGGCCAGGGAGGGACCCATCCTCGGCCACCCCATGCCTCATCCATCTCAGCAATGTGCTGATGCCGAGTCGTGGCGGTCAGGTTGGTCCAGATGGATCCTCGGAGGCTGTCGATGCGGCTCGAGAGCTGCTCCGTGGTAGTGTCGCTCGAGGAGTCCATCGATACTACTCCTCAACCATTTGTAGGTTACCCTAACAGAATGATTCAGATTGATTAGGAAAATTGCCATATTTGTCCAATTGATACTTCAGAGGGGAAATGATGCCGCTCCGTGAGGGAATGAAGATGGAAGGAAAAGTTTGTGACGGAGCCGGACAGGCAACGGAGATGCTGCTGACTAAGACATCACCAACAATTTGATGATAACCAGCACCAGCGATGAATTGGGTACGCAGCACTGATCGCTTCATTGATAAAAAGAAGATTACAGGTACGTGAGAAGATTTCCAGCGATTATGCGCTCCGCATATTTCATATATTGATTGAGAATTCGAGATGCTGAGAATTGAGGTTAATCTGTACGAGGCAGAAACTTGGCCTACCCTACACTATGTACCAAACCTCACCATCGCAAGACTACTAGGCTAAGAAGACTTTCTACTGTATCTTCAATGTACAGGCGGGGTTGTACAACGTCGAAGAGAAGATAATACTTGAGTAGTACCACAGCTGTGGACGTTACCCCGTACCCATACCAAATGGAACTTGTCCTTCAAAATGTAGTTCAATATGAAGTGATATCATGGGGTAAGGTCACTAGCTTCTCAAAGATTTGTTTGTCAACCCCGTCATATCGTATATGTCCAGGTCTGTGATAATATTAGTCTGTAATATGGTCTCTTCCGTGGCCAGCCAGACGTCAAAGTAAGGTCAGGCCATAGTCAACGCCATGATATAGCACTTCGGGGATGTGCCAAAGCTGCGAGTGCGGGACGAAGCTATGCGGCCTGTAGTTGAGGGTCGCCTCTTCCAGAGCAGTCCGAATCAGTAGAGTGATCCTCTCGCACAAAATTGGGCCTATGGATACGACACAGGAGAAAAAGTGGAAGAGGAGTGGGAGCTAGCAGTTTACAAGGCCATCTTGGCAGACTCGGGTCACAATGACCGGTTGTCCTTGGGTATAATTTCGCATCTAAGTTCTAATTGGAACAGGCTCTCATACATATGTCATAGTTGCCAAGGCTCGTCTCTTTGGCTAAAGTTGTACAAGAAATTCGGTGACATGAGAAGATCCCCAGAGTGGGTAGCCGTGTCGTGAAAGTCAAAGGTTGACGAGAAAAAGTCGTTCATCATGGAACTAAGCGATCCATTGTGGTAACTCAAGTCGCTATCCATGTTAGTCATGGACTCTTGTCCTACCGCTACGCCCGAGACGCCAATAGAGTCTTCGAGGGAGTCTTAAGGAAATAACGTTAGTGATGTATGCTGTGCAATCTCTAGAGAATGGCTTCCAAGACGTACTCGACTGTAGACCCTGTAGTAGATGCCGAAGAGTAGTTGTAAACTTGACACATTTGTTCAAAATTGCGTTGCGGGAGTCAATTCGTACCATGGCTTGAATGGCCCTTTCGAGATCCCTATCGAGAGATGCTGTCTCTTCCAAGTTTTGACCTTGTGAATATTGCGATGCTGAGACGTGTTGTGTGAGAATGATGGCTGCTATTGTGAGGGCTGCATTGAATGCTGGTCATGGTTGTCAGGGCACATATTCAAATATAATGTCCATGGGCATAACCTACTATAGTAAAGAGTGAACCACCACGCCCCGAGGTACGCCGAACCCCCGTCATCACCAGAGGAAGCGGTGCAGGTGCTCACAAGCCCAATGATTGCCCGGGCTGAATTCAAGCAGGCTGTCTTGCTTAGTTGGCCGATATGCTGCAGAGTTGCACCAGAGGAGTTTTTCTGATCGTCTATGAGTTCCATATAATGTTTCAGGATCGGTCGATGACATAGGATGTGTATACTGTGATATCGCAAAGACAGAATTACTCGGAACTTCCAGTGCAAGACGTTGCCTTCTGCAGCCTGAAGGTCTTGTATCGCCACAAGCTTCATGCTGTCGGGCAGTGACATCTGCCAGTTAGTAAGCTGGCGCTCTACCTGGATGATGGTAGAGGCAATATCTTCCACTTCAGAGGCGTCTTTTACACCGATGTTACTTCCGTAGAGATCTTGGATGATAACGGCGCTGATTTTATACAAACCCCTACAAATGAGAGCCTTAATTTAGTCTGTGCCATGGGTGGTTCGTAGAGATGCACATACATTGTAGCGTTCCAAAAGATGGTGGTCCGCTCTTCTGCGCCCCAAACTAAGGGAGCTGTATTCTGTGCCTGGGACTCGATATAATGACAAGGCATTCGGACCCGAATAAAAGCTTCGGGAATGCTGGGCGGTCGTCCAAACGTCACACTGAGAGATCTGCCGCCTATTCAGTAAAGCTCTCACCTCAGTTTTCAGAATTGAGCGGTAGTTTGCTCTCACCGGTCCAAGGCAGCACAGCCGTACCACGTCCGAATCCTAGTTTCCCTTTCAAGAGGGTCAAACCTGTCGAGCACCTGCTCTGACTGAAGACCAAGTTGAAAGGCCATCTTCACAGCTAGTCCATGAATTGCCCACGTTTTGATGGAACGCTGTGTTCCTTGTAGGTACTGCGTGATGAGAATCATTACCTGCACTGCAATGATCATGTCAGAGGCTCTTTGGATACTTTATTAGAGCGAGGGTGTCTCACCGGCCTCGAGACTAGCTTCGGGGTTCATGCCATCCAGACACAGAGTTCTGGCTCGATTGAAATAAACCTCAGACTGTGAATAGCGCTGTTCCATGTCAACGTCGCTGCGAGCCCGAGTGCTAGTTGCCATAGCCATTATCATGTTCAATAGCCCTAGCCACGACTTCCGAACACTCGTTGGCCCAAGCTTCTGGAGTTTCGAGTATGTCGCCCAGAACCTCTGCTCGTTGATGTAGGGGAATAACATCCCGGTGTCGCTGAAAAATTGCCGAACAAGACTTGACATGTATTCTTCTTTGGGAAGAAGGCTCGCGTCGACTCTGCTTGAGGCCCGAGAGGTAGCACCTTTCTTTGGAGGAGATTGCGGTCGAGAAACAGTCAGGGTGTTTTTATACATTCGAGGCTGGGAAGTTGCTGGTGGCAGGGACTCTTGTGATTCCTTTAAGTTGAGTACTAGGGCTAACGCTCGTCGGATGATGCGTGTAAATGCTATGTTCGATGACGGGCCTGTGCCAAATTCCTTAGTCTTCGGAGGTCCAACTGTGTAGATACGACTAGTAGACAAACCGAAATATTCCCAGCTCTCTCCGTCCGTGAATTCAATCGTACCGACCCCGTCAGTTCCATCAGGTGACCTTTCTTGGTCCAGGTCACCGTCATGAGCCTCTGATGACAGGGACTCGGATCCGCCGTTGTTGGCCTGTGCAGATGGAGTATAATTGAGCTCCTGTCTAGGTACGCCGTTGGTGTTCATTGCAGCGAATTGAGATTTGAGCTCATGGAGATCGCTCTCCACAGATGCCAGACGCGACTCAACGAGATCCAGAAAACTGCATTGCAGATCTGAGTAGGGCACATCAGGGGGATGATGGATTTGACGAACATCTTAGGCACCTGAGTGTTGTCCCCAACAATAGACGCATATACGCACTCGAGATCCTGATTGGCACATGCTGAACACCTCGGTCTCAGCCCATCGCACTGTCTCACGTACTTGATCAGCTCACGCATCATACGCCGCGATCGACTGTCCGGACAAGACATGCGGGGGCGGACAACAGACTCACTCTTGATTTGCGTGCTCTGCAAGACCCACACGCAATTGGAACTCTCTTCCGCTTCCGAGAAGCCGTCTCCTGTGCAGTTTGTTGGGATGGGCTCGCATCTGCCATGGCGGGCTCGGCTCGGTTCCATCAGCTGCCGCGTAGGGCGAAGTCTGGGCAGCAGGCTCCCCCGGGGAGATAAGAGGGTTATAAAAGCAGTTGGTAACCCTTAGCAGACCTTCGAATGCAACCCCGTGACTAAGTGCCGGATTTAGCCTGGGGCAAGTTAGCAATATGAGGGTCTCCGGAGATGTCCTTATGTCCCCGGACTGGTGCGCCACCCTCCCTAGTCACTCCTTTCTCTACCAAACAAGACTGGCTAATATGTCACCACAATGGAGAGCCAAGTCATAGTGACCTCCTAAGTAACCAATACCTGCGCTCACATCCTCGTTTGAAACTAGCTACTGCAAGTTCATTGCGGTCCACAATGTCTGCCACTATCATAAACCAGCCCAGGCCGAGGCCTCGTTTCGTAGCAATGAGGCAGAACCGATGCTACGTAGTACGGAGATGAACCACACGAAGCCCCTGTAGTTCCAGATGACCAAGTTAAACTTCTTTTCTGTCCAACCCTAGATGCACCCCTTACGTGTGGCAGTACTCGCAAATCCCTCCCAGTCTACTAAAGGCGGGAGAGTTAGCGACAGAAAAACGAACAGAGCCTTGAGTCTGGACGCTTGTAAACCCCAGGCGGTTAAGCAGCACGTCTGGCTGTTGGGGCCAGATCTCTATTGGTACAAGAGACGGCGTCATCCGTACACGTCTATCAAAGCCTTCATTTTCTCTTCAGGGTGGTAATGGAGAATGAACGAGTCTAAGCCGAGGGAAAAGGAGGAGATTGTGGCGACATGCGCAGCTGTGTTTCATTTCTCAGATCCTCATAGACTTTATATTGGACAGTGCAATGGTCATAAATCCAACTCAATTATAACACACTAGCGATCCATTTTCTAGACAACTATCACTAGTCTTGATACAAGTACTCCGTTCGTGAGAGACGCCTTGCTTAGACATGGTGAAACATACATCAGTCACGTTGGAAACTCATAAGTTGCCTTACTCTGATTGAACTATGTAGAAGTTGCCATCACATCAAGAGTCACCAACTGTACGTTCAACCGGTTCACCTAAACAACTTTGATGTCATTCGAGTCAAAGCATCATTGTAGAGCCAAACCGGAATCACCACCAAGTAGGCGAACCAAAGTAGCCCAGCCATAGTACCAAACTGGCCAACAGGTCCCATTGCCTCTGTCCAGCTCACAGATGTATAGGAGACACCGAATGCGAGACAATTCTTGGTCAAGTTGATGAGCGCGCCGATATGGCTTGCACGGGCGGGCAGAGTGTCAACAGCATACGTCAGGAGCACATTGGCGGAGCTGGTCAAGCCAAATGCCAGCATTCCCCAGCCAACGGTCACCAGACTCCAGCTGCTGGGGTTCTTCAAGCCAAACCCCAAGATCAGACAACCCGTGGGACTGAGAATGGCGCCAATTAGGGTGGCAGGTAATCTTGCACGGTGATTCTCAGTGCCACCAGATCGACGGGTTGCTCTGCTAAAGAGGATGTCTGCGAGGGCGCCACCGAATGGCAGACCAACGAGCAAGCCTACGAGTGGCCCAACATTCAAAAGGCCGATAGCTAGGGGTCTCCATAGAAGAGGTGGTTGACCGTATTTCATTGCCACGATGACGGAGATCAGAACCGTCCAGCCAATGGTGAGGCCGAACACCAGTGTGGCGACCAAGACTTGGGGGAGAATGAAGAGTGAAAGCGGTTGATAAAAGCTACGCAAAGCGAGCTTCCAGTCTAGGCTGACATATTTGAATGAGAAGGATCGAACGAGCCACTGCCGGCCTAATGATGAGGAAGAAGTAGCAGTTTCTGGTGTCGGCACGTTGCCGCTCCCCGCACGGATATCTTCTTTCTCGCTCTGCGTCGGCTTGTAGGAGCTTTTGTCGCTCTCGACGTTTGCGCGTGTCTCATAAGGGTCGGGAGTCGTCTCTGGGAGCATGATAATGGATCCTACGAGATTAAGGCCCATAACAGCTGCCAGAATTCGTGGGTACCACCTCCAATCGTTGAGGCCATCAGCAACAGCTCCGGCCACCAGTGGCCCAAACGACGAGCCTGCTGCCAAGAGGCCGACGTATACCACCATGGCCCTCGCAAGCTGGTGTTCAGGGAACGTCTCGACCACGAGGCTAGGACCAAGAGCCTCAATCAGCCCTCCAGCGAGACCCCCGAGAATACGTGAGGTTCTTAGGGAGACGAAAGAAGTTGCCTCGCCAGACCAGATGCACATGGCCAGGAATAAAGCGAGAGAGGTGAGGATCGTATAACGTTTACCAATCAGTGCCACAGCCGGTAGAGCAAAGATATTCTAGATTTCGATATGTCAGTTTGAGCTCCTGGTCCTTTCTTGAATCAAATGGTTACACGAACGGAAATTCCCAAAGTGAGCAGAACATAGGTCGACAATTGCGATGCTTCGTCCTGGGTGATGTGGAACTCTTGTATGATGAGACTGAAGAGCGGAGGTGCCCCGGCAGCGAAGGCATTGCCCAGTAAGTTGAACATGCCAACATTGAGAAGGAGAGCAACTCGCCACGAGAGCGGCCATTTCTATCGGAGTCGCTTCGGTATTAGCAAAATTATCATCACCACCATAGCTACGAGCGATTACAGTTCGACATACCCAAGGAGCGGGTGGTGACATGATGGACGAGAGATCGTACGATAGAAGGCTTGGGTATGTTGATGCAAGCCGTGACGAGGCAATGGGGTTCATCGGTATCTCTTGCTACGACCTAGACATGCCTCATATACCAGAATCCGCACCATTGAACTCCGAGTCTCCTATATCCTCGGGTCTGGCAGGCTAGTTTCCCAGCTCGTATAAGCCACAGACCAACTTCTCCATTCAAGTCGCCGAATAATACATGCCGAAGATACAATTCCATGAAACTAACTGACTCATGACTTACGTGTAGCTGAAGCTGGGGTGCGGGGAGATTAGCTTAGCCCCGGATTCCCCGCAACCACGACGCAACTAGCATCCCACTACGATGAGACCTCGAGGTCCGGAGAAGTCCAGAGGTGCCGAGACGCAAGCTCGACCAGTCATCTCGCTGCTACTTGCAACGTCAATGCGGGAGGTGTGGGTACAGGCAGTAGAGTTGCCCCCTTTAGATTGGCAAGATCCATGGTTGACAAGGTGCGAATTGGGATCAATGTTCACGCACCGGGTCTCAGACGTGGAAAAACTGACCTCTTTTCTTTGCCAGAATCTACCACTGATAAATAAAGACTAATTCCCGTTGAAACACTTACTCCATTCCTGAAAAGGACATGAAACATGCAGCTGCTTGCCTCAAGGATATCGCTGAGACTACTGAAGAAGTCAAGTGCACCGCCGACTCAAGTAATAAACTCGCAAGTAGGGTGATGAATATTTTGGTTGACCTTTCTAAGTCTTGCATTAAACTATTTACCCAATATTATCCTTACCTTCGCTTTCTTCTTCTGACTAATATCTCAAAAGACATGACGTATTTTCAGTTCGATGGAACGACAATAAACTGGCCATTCTGTAAGATACGCTCAGTCATATGATGACCACCGAGACACCCATCTCCGGCCTGAATGCACAAGAAGCAGATGTCAAAGTCCCCCTCATTGCATATAAAGCAATGCTTGTGTCGACCTCCTGTTATACGACTGAAGCACCTGTCACATTGGATGTACGGGATAAAGTCCGACACCCGGAGCTTGAACCAGTTCTTGACCCTTGCCGCTCTGTGGAAGGCGCTGTAGGCGTCTTTATCGTCGGGATCCAACGGTATATACGTGGAGGCTGAGTCCGAGTATCGCTCCACTTTGAGCTGTTGAAGGCTGCTGATGCCGAGCATAGTTCGGAGCTGTTGCAGGAAAAAACCAAAGTTAATCAGATGTACCGGGATATGGTATCCAGGAAGATTTGGCTAGCGGAATGGAGGTGGCTTTCAAGAAAATGAATAGCATTTCAAATACACTTACGTGAGCATCCAAAGTCTCTGCGTCCAAGTAGGTCAGCAGTATCTTGGTTATATGGTCCCTCCCCTGATACTCGATCATCAGATTAATGTAGCCATCCTCAGAGCTAACAGTACCATGAGAACTCGTGGCAACCGCGGGTAGTGTAGACCGCATCGCATCGCTATACGCGGTATCTGGTTGATTTGCCCTAAGACGTCGAATTTGTCAGTCTAGTCCAGCCGACTGTAGGCAAGGTGAAATACAGACTCATTCAGTTGCAGGCTGCGAAAGCTCTTAAACAGGCTCTCTTCCCCGGTTTCAGCCTCAATATTTATAGCCTTGCTTTTGGATTGGCGGTACTGGGCCAGCTCCCGTCCAACAATGGCATTTCGTCGACGGGTATCCGGCGGCTCCTTTTGAAAGGCCGTGATCTTCGCCTTGGTCGCTTGGATACCTTTGAGGTCAGCATCGGCGAGGAGGGCCATCTCGCAGTCTCCCAGTGCATCACGGTAGTTGCCCATCTCAACGTAGCAAAGAGCCCGGTTGTGTAGAAGCACCGCGTTAATGGCCCAGTTCGTCAGATCGACCTGCAGCGCCTCCGTGTACAACATGGCCGCTTGGCGGGCGTTTCGTGCCTCATATTGACGCTTCGCCTGGCTTATGAGACTGCCCAGCTTCTCGCCGATATCCAGCCATTTCTTGATATCATCCAAGCCGGCCTGGTCTGTGACTCCAGTTTCTCGTGCTTTGCGCAAGTGCCGAGTCCCCAGGTGGAAATCCCCGCTCAAATATTGGACGCGGGCATGAAGAATGAGGAAGGCAACATTCGTTGGTCGCCTTCTTACCAACCTTTCGGTGATGGCCTTGGCTTGACGCAAGCCGTCCTGGGTGCTCATCGCCAGGTGAGCCCTTGCTCGTAGGCTTCTCCATTCGTCAGGGGGGCCGACACTTCTCCATAGCTTGCTCTGCGCCTTGTCTAGTCTGTCAAACACCGGTTGCACATCACCGCCCTTGTCGAGAAGCTGACGAGCGTCGTCGATAGAGGCCTTCATCATCCGCGCATCTTTGATCTCTTGCTCTGCCGGTGGGGGCTTGATGTGGTCAAGCAAGGGCAGGGCATACTCGGGGCTCCCCGTGGCATAAACAAAGATCGTGAAAAGGGTAGCGAGGGCGTACTGGTTCTTCGGTTCCAGTTCTCGAATCTTAAGGCAGTCGTCCATTACTCTGTTCCAGTTAGATAGACACCAGTAGGCTCCGGACCGCTGTGCCAAATGTGATGCGGAAAGCGGCTCGAGTTCGATACCTGTGTCAAGAGTTGAGGAATCAGCCATCAAAAGAAAGGGATAAAATTAAATGAATCGTTGAGCTATTGTAGAAATGAAAGACGCAAATACACCAGGCTTACCTTTGGTGTATTCAGCTACAGCCTCGTCATACTTCCCAGCAACGAGACATTCATGTCCAGAGGCAATGTGCTTCTCGGCCTCAGTATGAAAGATAGTTTGCAATGGCTGGCCAGGCTGGCCAGGTGTCGCTGTTGATGGTTGACTAGAAACAGCTGTTGCAGCTGTTGATATTGCCGAAATTTGACCAGAAATGGCCGTCGTTATCTGTGTTTGAATATGTGGGACGGCAAGAGTCGTTGTGTTAGTTGGCCACACAGCAGAGGCCTCGTCTTGTGTTAATGATATGACCGTAGCGTGAGTAGCGGTAGGTCCCGGAGGATGCGTTACGATCTCGGTCTGACTCTTGGTACTAGAGACATTCGTCATATCGGCAGGCCATGCTGCAGAGGCCTCATCCTCCTTGCCTAACGTGGCTGTAGCATTGGCACTCAGAGGACGTGGAGTATGAGCCCCTTGCAGTGATATGGTGGTCTGTTGAGTGTCGTCCCCGGAGACATCTGAGAATAAGACGTCTGAAAACCAGTCATGGCCTGACGCCTCATCTTGAGCGTCATGGATATCTGGATGCTCCCTTCGAATGCTAATGACCCACGGGTGGTGTAGAGAACTCTTAGATGAGGGTCTTGTACGAGGTTCTTGAGCCAATAGCGACTCCAAGTAGCTAACAAATGCTTCTTCGAGTTGATATTCGCCCGGGAGGTGCGAGCGGAACGTGGTTTGGCCGTAGAAGTAGCGGGAGAGATCTGCCTGCGAGGCGAACATGGCACGGCCCGTGGCAAGTCTGAAACCAACTTGACCAAGGCACCACATATCTACCGGATATGGGTCTGCCTCTCTTGGATTCCCTTTGTATCCAAGTAGTTCCGGGGGCATGTAATTCGGGGTGCCTTTCGCAGTCGTCGTGTTATTAGCACCTACTCCATTCCGCTTGCTCAAGCCAAAGTCGGCTAACTTCACCCACCACGAAGGAGCGGCAGTTATGATCAGGATGTTCTAAGATCCAGTTTGATTAGCGAGTGGCCCAGAGGTCGACATATGGTAGTATCGCAACTTTACTGCAAGCTTGAGGTCCCCGTGGCAAAATGTCTCCTGGTGCATGCTGGTAAGAGCATTTAAAATCTGATAGGTAATATCCTGCGCTTCTGGTTCAGGCAGCCTGGTGTTCGAAAGGCTGAGAAGATACTTATCCAGATCGCCCAGCTCACAGTATTCCATGGCAATATGTATTAATCCCGGGCTAGTGAACCACCCATGAAACTTGACGAACTGGTCCGAATACTGTGTAGGGAACACTCAGCTTATGTTCACCAAATTATGCACCAAGATGAGGATGCGTCGTATCGTTCAGGCATATGGGAAAGGATTCATGCCAAACCTTTGTTTGAGAGAACTTTGCCATGGCCTCAAGTTCTCGCTTATAAAGAGCCCGATCGGTTTGACTGCTGACTGCTGGCATTGAGATGGTCTTGACGGCCCGAAGTTGACACTGGCCTGGTCCATCGACCATCTTCTCCTGCAAGACGACAGCTCCCTGGCCTCCCCTGCCCAATCTCTCTCTGGAGACCCATGTCTCCGGCTTCGGGCTACGACGACCCGGCGGGACGTGGATAGTGTAGTGTCGCGAGCCTTCAGATCTGAAGCGAACCGACAGCTGCGTATCTCGCACCAGCTCCGGGAGATCGTCCAAGACAACCCCCGAAACGGACATTTCGCCAGGAAGCTAACTCATCAGGCACACACTGCCTAGGCAATCAATGCGACACAGCACGGGTTGATAGGCGGCCAAAAAATGTCCCGTTCGCGGTTCGCCAGCCGGACATTGAGATGGGATTTTGGAGGGGTAAGACTTTCCTGCGGGATCAGGCGACCAAAACGCCTTGCAAGGCCAAGTTTACGGCTTATATAAGCTAAACTATTGGCATAAGACAGGCCAGCGCCTCCACTGAGCTGAACTTCGAAACTATTGATCTTACCTGGAAACCTGACAGGTAGCTAATTATAGAACAATAAGCGCCTAGATCAACTAGGCTATTTATCAATAATCCCAGACCGATGCAGCCCCCAAAGTTGACATAGGATCCTCTTGTCGAGTGACTAGCATGTTGCAACCTTGTCGCCCTCGATAATATCACCAAAGCCAAATTAACTTGAGCTTCTCGTGTGATTACAAGCATATTGTTAAGTCTTTGAAGGCTCCTGCAAATAAATGGCACAGATCAACTACCACTAACTGAAACATATCTAACGCAAATGCTAAAAGACCGATACTCCTCTTGGGATAAAAGCTACCTTTTTAGAACCTTCTGGTTTCCATCTTCAGTGTTTGGCAGAATCGTAACAGTTCCATCAGGGTCTCTGAAAGATAGTCTGCGAACAACTAACGAAGACAACGCTCTTTCCACGCCCACAGTGAGTAACGGATTATGGGGAATCAAAACTCTGCAACAACATGGCCGCGATAGAGATCTGAAAGATGGTGCGCCTAGAAGAGTGATATCAGAAGAAACTTCATGATTGACTGATTATGTTCCATCCGCAGTACATCGGTCGTGGAAACTTTGGATAGAATCTCCGCGGAACTAAAGCGCAATTCATCAATTACCGCGGCAGGGAAGCGCCGTATGAGCTTCCTAAAACCAATACAGCCCTTTTAAAAGATCTATAGCTGGATCCCTAAGGCAGTTCTTGTAATACGGTTGTTGTAATATTGTCTATGAAAATACTGCGTTGTCGGTGAGGCCTAACTCGTGAATTCCTCGTCCCCACGGAGGAGCACTTACATGAACGCAGTCTGCTTTCTTCGTTGATTGGTTCTCTTAAAATTGGCCCATTTCCATTCAGACACTGGTCGGTAACGGAGGGTGGCAAGCCATAGCATATGAGTCCCAGGGATCTCCCTCACAACGTAGTACCACAAAGAATGGAGGACCGGGGTCAATCGTGACACTATTAGAGAAGTGAGGTTACGATGCAAGACGTGAATGGGCTATTGGTATGCCAGCTACTTGCTTGATTATCGTACTTTTGTTGGCCATGTACAACCTCAATCCATCTCACTCAGCTGCGGAGAGCGGAGACTTTCGCCGGAGCGGGCGGAGACTTTTAACGCCAGCGCACCGGGCCGCTTCCCCTGGACAATGGGTTATATCGTGGAACGATTTAGAATTTCCAGGAGCAGTCTTTTGATATATAGATATGGGATATTCCCCTTAGTCTTGATAAGTTTTGTTTGACATAGTATCTAAAACAAATACCAGTTGCCTCCGCTCTACCTTTTTGTCGACTTGCCTGCTTGACAATACTCCTCAAACATTCATCATGGGCGAATTTTGTTGCGGCCCTCGGCCATCTGCTGCTCCAGACCGCAGCCATGGAGATCATGACCATGACGATCACGATCGCGATCACGGCCACGACCACGAGAATCATAACCATGATAGCCATCACCATGGACAAGGCGGTGACTGCTGTGCAGACTCAGCAAGCATTTCCTCGTCCTCAACATGCTGCGGCGACCAAGAGCGCTGCGACGGTGAGTTAGTTCCCGTCTTCAAGTCTTGGTAGTATCGACAGGTGATTGACTCAAGTATACCTGTATAGAGAAGTGTGTTGAGGCCGTCGCAGCACTTGAATGCGTCAAGGCCTGCGAAGAAGACCCAGGCCACGATGGTGAGCCCAACACCCCAATGCTCGAACGCTTTCTTCCTCGTCTAGCAATAAATCCGCTGACCCTCTGAATGTAGAATCATCAGGTCACCCTCACCAACATGGCGCGAGCGGCCACGACTCCGACACAGCCTGCAGCACTCATCTCCAGGCCGCCTTCGACAAATACAGCAGCTACCTCGAACAGCTCCGCTGTATCTGCCGCAGTGCCGTCGACAATGGCGCGACCTCGTTCCAGACCTGCTGCAACAAGCCCAAGTTGAAGAAGAACCAACACCACAACAAGCCGAAGAAAGATATCGATATACCTATTTACAAGCCCTCGGGCGCCACCGGTATCAAGAAGGTCGACGTCGAGAAGGATGGAAATACAGAGCCCGTCAGCTTCCTAGTCAGCGGAATGGACTGCACCAGCTGCGCCGATAAGCTCATGCGGATATTCAACACCATGGCCGGCGTCTCCCAGGCCCGCGTGAACTTTGTCGTGGGCAGCGGCGAGTTCACCGTCGACACATCCGTCACCAGCGCCGACGAAGTCATCGCTTTTGCCAGCAGCGTCAGCGGCTTCAACCTGAGCAAGGTGATCGGCGGCAACTATTTCCTCGACATCCTGGCTCCCCCGGCCGAGGCGAAGAAGATGGCAGCCGAGTCGCTACCAGGAGTTCTCGACGTGCAGTCGCTCGACAAGTCCACGGTCCGTCTAGCCTACGACCCGGCCATCATCGGGGCGCGGGACCTATTCGCACGAGTCGAGGATCGATGCCGCGGGTTGGCTCAGCAGCAAAGCGATCCCCAGCTCGTGAACAGTCGTCGCAGACTGTGGGACCAACTCATCAAGGCTGGTTTGGCTGCAATCTTCACCATCCCCGTCGCTGTTGTAGCCTGGAGCGAAGATCTCGTGTCTGAGAGGGCCGAGGCCATCATCGGCTTGACGCTCGGCACTGTTGTCCAGTGCATTGCCATTCCCGAGTTTTATCGCCCGGCCCTCTCTGCGCTTTGGTATAGTCGAGCGGTTGAGATGGACATGTTGGTCGTCATGAGCATCACCGCTGCGTATGTCTACTCCGTTATAGCGTTTGGGTTTGGGATGGCGGGCAAACCGCTCGACGAGGGCCAGTTCTTCGAGACCAGCACAATGCTGATCACATTGATTCTTCTCGGCCGCCTCATTGCCGCCTTTGCGCGAGTTCAGGCCGTCACTGCCGTGTCGCTCCGATCCAAACAGCAGAATGTTGCCGTGCTTGTTGAGAAGGGCAGCGATCGAGAGATTGATGCCCGGCTACTCCATTACGGCGACAGGTTCAGGGTCCTGCCACATACTCGAGTACCTACGGATGGCGTAGTTGTCTCAGGAACTACAGAGGTGGATGAGTCTATGTTGACAGGAGAGCCGCTGCCAGTCCCCAAGAAAGTCAACGATGCAATAATCGCAGGTACCATGAATGGCGATGGGTCTGTCGTTGTCCAGCTTACTCGCCTTCCAGGGAAGAACACAGTCACAGACATTGCCCAGCTGGTCGAAGACGCCGCCAACTCCAAGCCCAAGCTGCAAGACCTGGCCGACAAGGTCGCTGGCTGGTTCGTTCCTGTAATGGCCATCGTCGCCCTTCTCGTCTTCGTGATCTGGATTGGTTGTGGATTAGGAGTCCTGAGATACAGCAGCGGTAAAGCAGCCGGCAACGCAGTGGCATATGCCGTGGCCACCCTCGCTGTTGCCTGCCCTTGCGCCCTCGGTCTGGCCGTACCCATGGTCTTGGTTGTTGCGGGCGGTATTGCGGCAAAGGGAGGCGTCATCATCAAGTCTGCGGAGACTACCGAACGAGCACGCAAGGTCACCGATGTAGTGTTTGACAAGACCGGCACCATCACGGAAGGAGACCTCGCCGTCGTGGAAGAGGTTGTGCTGAGTGGCGACCACTCCTTCAATGCTTCTCTCGCTAAAGCCCTGGTGGCTGGAGGAAAGCACCCCGTATCTGCGGCAGTTGATAAATATCTTGACGGGCAGGCTGCCGAGGCCATGGCCGGTGTATGCAACGTCAGGGTCGTTCCCGGTGCTGGGATTGAGGCAGAGTACGAGGGAAATCGTCTACGGGCAGGGAACACCCGATGGACCAGCGCCAGTGATGTGGCAGAGGTAACACGTCTTCAAGACGCTGGTCTTACTGTGCTCGTCGTCACCTACAATTCTGTCCCGGCTATTGCTTTTGGATTGAGTGTCCAGATTCGACCCGAGGCCCAGCGTGTTATTGCCGAGCTCAAGGCCCGTAACATCACTGTCCATCTTGTCTCTGGGGACCAAAAGAGGGCTGTTCAGGATGTGGCCGCCTCAGTTGGCATCCCCCGGGAGAACGCAGTTGGCGAATACACCCCACCGGAGAAGCGCGACTATGTTGCTGCTCTAATGGGGGATGAGGGCAGATATGTCATGTTCTGTGGAGATGGAACGAATGATGCTGTCGCTGTCGCGCAAGCCAACCTTGGGGCTCAGATTGGTGGCAGCCTCACAAGTAGCGATGTGACCCAGGGTGCAGCCGACGTGGTTCTGTTGAATGGTCTTGAGGGCATCCCTTTCCTTCTTAACGTCAGCCAGGCTTCGTTCCACCGCATGTACTTCAACTTTGTTTGGTCTGCTATTTACAACGTTCTGGCCGTCACGATGGCAAGCGGCGCCTGGGTCAAGTTCCGTATCCCTCCCCGATACGCTGGTCTGGGAGAAATGGTGAGTGTTGTTCCAGTTATCCTGGCGGCAGTGTCCATGTTCCTCTTGAACCTCAAGCACAAAGTTAGCAAGTGACGGAAGGGACAAAGGCAGGCGAATTGATCAGACAAGGATAAACTTTGAGGATATTCCCAGGTTCAACGGAATATCACTATGATCGTGGCGAGTGAGATGCATTCTGGCACCACAGAAGTAATATATTCGTCTAGAATTAGATACCTCCTTCTAAAATCCCAATCATCAATTCAATAATTGGACGTTAATCGTATGACAAGGAAGAAATGATCCCCTCTAAGATAATTTCGTTACACATTCTACGTAGAACGCAGGTCATAAGTGAGTGACTCTTCGATTATCGCCAACGTCCAAGGTCAGCTCATGATGATCTTCTGCGTCTCCTCCATCACTGCGCGGACTTGATCGACTGTCCGGAAGCAGGCAAACATCTTGGTAATGTCCACTTTTTGAGGGCACACCTCCTCTTCTGATTGTTTGCCCTCCAAGGGGTCAGTCATGTTCTGGCATGAAGCCTCCTTCTGACACTCTTCGTGCCCATTATTGTGCAGGCGCGTCTGCCTCTCTGCAAACGCATTCATCAGCTCCAAGAGCTTCCTGAGCTCTATCCCTATACTGGCTCTCATCATGTTGCTATAACTCTGCCCATCAAGTGAAAGCTCGACGGTGCTCGCTGGGTCTGGCGGCTGTCCGATGAGAAGTTTGAGAGACTCGCCGTCATGGGAGCACTGCTCCGCACGTCGTTTCTGGTGCAGGAAAAATGCCCCGTACGTGGAGATGATGCTGGACATGAGAGAGCCAAGTAGATTGATATTTCTCGACGTGCCGAGGGTCTGGCATACGGGTCCGAAGCACACGTCGCATTCCAGTATTGATTCAGCAGACTTTGTAGATTGTTGCAGGGCTTTGAGGGTCTGGAACGACTCTGCTGAATCCTCCAGAAGGGAGAAGTGCTGGTTCACCAGCTCAACACAACTGCACTTTTTCGTCGCCCGAGTTGTAGCCGGTTCGTTTACCGGACCCGTCTCGCTGTCTATATTCAAGCCGTGGTGAAGCATGCAAGGGATGCAGGACGAAGGGCCGGCCTCTGGTCCGCCTTGGTGCTGGTCAAAATCGATCCCAGGTAATGGAAGCGGTGCATTGAACCCGCTGAACTCATCTCGTATTGGTCCAGGAAAGTTCTCGATTTCCATAAAGTCTGCTGCTAGGGGAGAGACGGCGATTTCTGAAGCCGAAGCAACAGAAGGGACAGCGAACCCATCACCATTCTCTTGAAGAATGCGGAAGCCGGGGCGCGTGCTCCTCGGCCGGCCCATGGGCTTGTTGGGAGAGTACTCGCATCTCAGGCCAAGCTGTGTGCATCGTCCACACAGCGGATCATTACGAGAGCATTTTACCTTACGTTTTCCTGATGATAGGTGACGCCATCAATATTAGCAAGAGAGACAATTGAGGCATGCTGGTTGTTGTCGAGGGTGGGACGGAAACAATGCGTAGGGAGAGACTCGTGTGTGAAGACTCACTACATGGATCACAAGCGCGCCGTCGGGATTTATCGGCCGAGTCTCGGAGGACCTCCATCTGCTCTAGAAACCAGGAGAGTCAGTTCCAGCGATATGCTTTTGCGCAGGCAATTAGAGTGACTGCCCGGCTGCGGTGTTTTGGCCATCAAGGTTCTCACGCCGTCATGTGACGTGCCAAATGCTCAAATACTTCGGAGTTTCTCGGGCGCCGCGCGGAGACTAAAAAGTCGCCGCGCTGAGTAATCACAGACCAGCGCTTGATGACTAAAGAATGCTCCACGGCCAATAGGGACCAGGTAAGATTGGGGAGTGGTTGTTATCCAAGCGGTGCTCACTTTCTACCTACCCTATACCTTGCCTCTTTCGAGGTTGTGTGATCTTGAAAAGCGACTTTTACCAAGACAAAGGGACCGAACAAAAGATGGAATTAATATACACTACATCTAGAGTTTCAATTTGGCATAATCTGGCAGGCGCTTTTAAGAGCTATTGTAGTCAATTGGCTGTGCCCAAAGGCTGTGGAGAGCTACACAATCCAAAACGCAAGCGTGTAATATCCAATCCAAATGAAAAAGTTTTACGGGTAAAATTAAATTTGTACGACGAAGCTATTGGAGTTCAATAATCAATGGTCGGATCCTTTTATCGCATCTTGCGACTTTACATATTTGCCAACATCATTCTTCTTCCGAGGCAGCTCGCCGGTATGCAGATATGACCCCATAAGACACAAATTAGCCCAACCCTGCAAAAGGGCCTGGGCTGTATCCGGAATCTCCGAGAAACACGACTCGACCAGCGCAAAGGAAGTCCAATTTGATCTGTCCAAGCTCGCAAGCATAAAAGTCGCCCGGGATATAAAGCAGTCGATTGTGTTGTCATTCGACGGTGACGTATGGACGTGACGCAACGATCGAGCAATAAAAAAGTTTGGCAAAAAGGCCGTCTTTGATATACTCCCGATCGGCGAACCCCGAGCCTCGCGCTTTCAGCTGTAAAAGGCGCGCGCTCTGCCAATTGAGCTAATCGGGATGAGCCCCGAAGGGCTGTTCGATGCTGTTGAAGGCGTTAGCAAAATTATAGCATATATACTACCCAAGTCTCCAATGGGAGCAGATGTCATGCTTAACCTACCTAGGTAGAGAGCGCGTTGATCAGCAGTGGATCAAGAGACAGAGGTGAAGATGCGGGTTTTTTTCTTCTTCGTCTTTTTTTCTTCCTTTTCCAGCACAGTGAGGTATTTTTGCAACCTGTGCTTCGAGACATCTACATGTACGCATCAATGCAGCAGTTGCCAAGGTGAATGAAGGATGTTTCTACATGTGGGTATGCATAATAGATGAAGGTAATTGATTCAGGTACCTCAAGGTGGTATCTGACCTCTGCTCGCAGATGCACGCTCGCGTATAAACGCGAATTTCACCACAGTTTTGTGGACCCAAAACTCCAAACAAAATTTCTTCGCTAGGTCGTGGTCTCATCTCATTCGCACCCGCACCCCGCTTCGCCTTTACTGCCCTTTTTCTTGGCCTCTGCAGCCTCGATTGAGTTGCCCCAAATCAACCCTTTGAATTTCATTCATTTTCCTTGGGGTGTGTCTACTAGAGAACATACATCTAAAGGATATTACGCAATTCATCCTTATGACCCAAAAACTACGAACTTCCAGGCAAATTCGTTAGTAGATAGCTCTTAAGATAGAAGGCGGAAGAGGACTACCAATGTGAGATTACGATATTCCACCAGAAGATCAAGACAGAGGGATTCATACTTTAGTTACAAAGCCAGACGTTCTCACACTTGATCTGCGCCTACGAAGCAAACTTCCACGTACAAAAGGCGTAAACACTGCACCTAATCCTCCGGCTGAATCCTTGGGAATAGAAGCCAGTTAATAGCTTGAATCAAAAATAGACAGAGTATGATGGGCTGCAGAACCCAAACGCCGGCTGACTCGGCGATGGCGCCGATGAATAAGGGAAACACCGTGTCTCCAGCGCCCCCAAGAGCGAGGGAAAATCCGATAGCACTACCATGGAGGTTCTTCGACAGCAGCTCTGCGGTGACTGTGATAGTAGCATATAGAGGGTCAATGAAGAAGCCAAGAAGTGAGATGGCCACGGCCGAAACGACGAACTGTAGCACCAGCCAGAACAAGAGCTGCAGTGCGACGCAGCAGGCAATGTAGATGGCGATGCAAAGGCGTTCCCCGAAGCGCTCTGTTACGAAACCCAATGCACCCGGGGGAGCTATGATGAGATCGATGTGAATAAATTCGGGGAGAGCTAATTCATTTCAGCTCACAAAAAGTGATATAAATCAATCCCCTCCAAACGATATTTGGACGCCTTTCCGGAGTCTTTTCAATATTTTAGCTCACAACATGAAGTCTCTCGCAGGTAAATGACATGGCGGGTTGACACAAGAAGAATCCCGGGTGCTGGTGCTATACATCATCACGGGCGCCTATTTAAGTTCTCCGCGCCAACTGTAGTTGGCCACAGGACCATCAATCTTGAACGTGACAGGGGCGTCTTGCTTGCAAATCTCATCGGCTGGTCCGTCGCCCTGGCTGCGACAGTCGAAATCCAACCCGGTACCACCGCGCAAATCCGCCTTTCTGTAGCCAAACATCAGAGACTTGATTCCTTTGAGATGGGTTGAGTTACATACCTATCACCGACGTCGTGGTAGATCATGAGATTAAACTTGTGATCGTCATTACTAATCGAAGTGTCAGATAAGAGGGCAAACGAGTACTTGCTATTGCCGCACCAATTGAACCCTGGCTTGGGCCAGGACACGTCGGTTGCCGAGCATTCGAGGCCGTCTGCTTCATTGCCGCTCAGCTCAAAGGAAAGGCTTGGAATCTTGACATCGACTGGCGACCCGAGTTTGTGAAGCCGGACGCTCGATACAGTAACCGTTTCCTCCGCCCCATAATTGACCTGGCGCAGGCCAACCATAGCCAGGAGTGGGTCTAGAATGGAAGGGAGCTGCATTTTGTATTTGAAGATGTGGTGATGCCGTTAATCAATGTCTGTATGAGGATGACGAGATGTTGAGTTGTGTTGAAGCAGATAGCATGACATTTATAGATTGCCAGGCTACGCTCATCGCTTACAAGGTTGTGCTGATGAGGCCAGATGTGCGGCATGGATGAAATGCCATATGCAGGTTCAGACGGGCAATACGCGCCTAGTCCTGCTCTCTTATTAGTGGTGGCAGACCGAGATGAGGAGCTTCTTGGACAGCGTGTCATCTGAGGTGGGTATTGGTCTTGGCATCTCTTCAGGCAGCAGGCAGAGTAGCTGGGTAGAACAACCGAAACACGTTGTAATATTGACCGATACTTAATCATTTTAGCATAAAATTTTTTTGATATCTCTTCTTGGAAAGTGCTTCGCACCGCATTAGCTTTTGTTTAACTGTTAGATTATTCAGGCAAATGGAACTTTGCGGCATACCCATCCAAGAAACTGCTTTACTTTCACTGAAGAGACCCCTGGTGTTCTCCAGGGTGCAATTGAACCCACTCCTCATACTGCCACCAATGAGAATAATATTCGCCGTCCGAAAAGAATTAGATTGACAAGTGTGTTGGATGCTCACATCCAGTCTCGAGAAGTCTAACATATTGGAGCCATTGACTTTATTCATCCGTCAATAGTAGTGCGGCAATATGAGGGAGCACATCGTTGCAGACGACGAAGAGCTTGTCCCTGGCAGCTCTCGAGTATTGATCAGGCGAGTATGAACTCAGATTAGCTACGAAATTTGAGTATGTCCTTCAAATTATACTTGCAAAGTCTGCACCAAGACTTTTGAACAGAAAGAAAATCTCGAGCAAGTACATTCATGATATACATAAAGCAAGCCTGTGGTATCTATTTTCAAATTTCTTGGGATATGGATTGTCTGATCTTCCCATTGTCTACCTCACTGGAGGTAGCTCCGTTAGATGTACTTCGCTATGGGTACTATCATCCATCCTTTCGTACACATTGTTGTTGGGAGCGGGAGACAGGCTTGAGGGTTTTGAAGGAACCCAGTATTTTCCCTTGGTATTTTTAGATACCGCTTCATCTGCAGGCACTTGGCTGCCGCCAAACTTTCCCTTGTGCCACCTGTTTAGTGGCATCAGGAAAGGAGGCACCTTTGGGTCTGTATATATTCGAGAGATTGGGAGAGCACAGTACACCAGCACAACGATAGTGCACTCCCCTAGTGCCCAGAGATAGCCAGACGAGAGGCTGTAAGCCACGTCCTGTGAGTATTTGAAGGTGTGGACGTTTTGGGCACGACCAGACCCGCAGCCTATTCCACTGCAAGTCATTGTCAGCAGCTTCTACAACAATGGCCGTGACGGAAACCCGGCATATGCATCGAGGAGAGGAGACGAAAGTAGGCCCAAGTTGCAACTTACAGGAGCGCGAAGGAGAATATGATGGACTTGCCAATCCTTCTTTTCAGAGGGGCGTGAAGCCTCCAGACCATTGTCTGCGGAAGGATAAAAATGACCAAGTCTAGGGCGATATTAAAAAAGACAGTAACTTTGTCAATGTAGGACCTATTATTGCAGGTGCCGTCAAGCCAAGGGTTCCACGCCTTGTGAAACGGCTGGCAGCGTGCCTGAAAGTAGATGAATCCAGCGCTGAAGAAAGCAACCAGCACACCCAGGGTGATATTGCAGATCCAGTAGATAGAGTTGCGCGAGTGCCCTGGCCAAAAGACGCGAAGCCACTCGAGCATGATGGCTGACTTGGCGAATAGCATCGTGAGATACCACATTGTGGTCAGGATATACGACATCTTATTCCTCCAGTCAGTTGTCATCATGGGACTGAGGGTAGTGAGTTCATCAAGAGAAAGTTATGACTCACTAGCAGTACTTCTGAGAATTTATGGCGGTCCATGTCCCACTGATGTACATAGAATGCACCAATCTTTGCCAAGTGGTAACCTGGATAGAGCAGAACTGTGAATGTAGCCTATGAGTTTCCAATGTGTTAATATCGTGCTCCCAAGGCAGAAGATAGAAATGCCCCGATTCATGTGAGTATGGGAGACATACCGCAGCAACCAAAGCCAAACCTATCAATGCATTGTCAGTGTCGAGCGATTGCCACAGTCGGGTTTGGAAGACTTGATATACCTTCTTGGATCCGTGTCTCTTTGCGATACACAAAAAATGCATACAGACGAAGGAATAAAAGAACCCATGCTATCACCGTGCACGCGATAGTCACCGACAAGCCGAGATCATTCCGCGACTCCGGGTTGGTGAGATGAGACGTGAAGCCGTCGGGAGCTGCCAGCGCCGGCTGAGAGAGGAACACTTCCCGCTCATCGGGCGTCATGGAGCCAAACGGAGTGGCCGACATGGTTCAGGTCGCGTGACAGCCAGTGGGAGGTGAGTCGACGCGTTCCGATGCTGTGCTGAGAGATTTGTGTCGAGGGTGAAATTGGTGGTGTTTGTGCCAAGCAACCGGTGGGAGCATTCCCCACTTGCAAATCCTCCGCGCCTCAGCCGTGTCGATCTCGTAGGCAGCAGCACTTGTAAGGTTGCATAGCTAATGGTGTCCCTCCAGGGGGTGATTGGGCTGTGCCAGGGTGGCACAGTTTTCTCCCGGAGCTTTCCAAATCTGTGAGTCTTGTCTTGAGGGAACAGAACACTTTTCGTTTATAAGACTAGACCCATCAATCAATGGCAGAAGACATGGGCTTGCTGCCAGCATGTTTCTTTCTCTTCCCGTATTTGCCAGTCTGACCACTATTTCTTGTTTTATGGACATTCATCTACAGCAGCCACTAAGCCATCCAAGACAGTTATTACTGGAACCAGAGACAGAGGAGGAAGTTGAAAATGTTCATAGTAAAGCCAAACCTTGCAACTGCCTTGGTCTCAACCTAAGGGCGAGATATCCATCCAGGCTGCTCGCCTTGTAGTGGTTACGAAACATATCAACCGCACTTGTTTCTTCGGCCTGGATCTCGTTCTACAACGTGGTGCAAACCACCATGCAGTGACTATAATTTCATAAAAATGCTTGTAGTCCAAGGATACGTCCTGTTTAGCGGTGTTTCTCACTATTGTGAGTGTAAAAGCAGGTGAAACGAATCCCATGGCGATCTTTTGGATCAGACAATTGCTGCCTTCCCTGGACTGAACCTGTCCTTGGACAGGTTTTTTTTATTAATTAGTGCGCATCACTTTGCACCTTTACACAAAACAAGAAAGTATGACGATTTAATATCTGTATTCAAATGGAGTCGGGCAAATACATTCGTGATCTTCTAGCCTTCCGTCATGTCGCGCCATGATAAGAAACGAAACCGATGATGTAGTTTTACATATCTATTTAACCAATACCGGGCAGGCTATATTAGTAGACGTAAAAGTTAGTCTCGTTGGGGTTGGCAGCCCTCATCTTCTTGTTCTGTCTGCGAAGAGCAATCTTGAGAACCCATGCGAGAGTCATGCAGCCGGCAGAAAAGGCAATGCTGGCCATCCATGCCGGGAGATAGCGCGGGCCGTCAGACTTGGGCCAGATGTATGGCATGTAGATTGAGGACATGTTACCGAGGGAGTTGGCGATGGCGAGCGCAACAGACTTCTTCTCGTTGGTCTGGCCGAGTGTAGAAGACACCCATCCAAGAATGATGTTGTTGATTCCGAAAGTGAAACCGACGAATAGGAAGATGCCGACCATCCGAGCAGGAATATTGAGGGTTGCGACAGCGAGCACAAAGCCAACGATGACGATGCATTTGCAAGTGGTAATATGCCACGTGCGCTCGTTGAAGTGCCCCGAGCTATGTGCCATAGCGACAGCCATGATCGCAGCGAAGAGGTAAGGAGGGAAAGTGAGGACGAGACTGATGATTCTGCCATAGCCGAGAGTTTCGATAACGGTGGGCAGGAAGTTCTGGAAGCTGATGGAAGACAAGTGGAAGTTGTACATGAGGCAAAGAACCCACATGCGCCAGTCCTTGCAGGCCTCCTTAAGACCAACCCAGACGCTCGTTCCCTCACGGAGGTCGGTGGTATCGACGCAGATTCGGTTGTGGGCGTACTGTTTCTCCTCCTCGTTCAACCAGCGGGTCTTGAGAGGGTGATCGGGCAGCATGAAGAAAGCGAGGATGGCGGTGACGATAGACAGGGCACCCTGAATGATGAATAGCCTATTGAAAGTTTCACATCAGTATGCGAATAGCTCCGCAGGCAAAGGCTACCCAGGTGGACGTCAGTAGATTTACTCACCATTTCCACCCCGACAAGCCCATAGATTTATCGAGTCCCGAAAACACGCCGGCTGCGATAAGAGGCGAAAAGGCACTTGCCAACATGTTTGCAGTGAAGAACCAAGACATGCGAGTGGCGATTTCTTTGCGGGTGTAGAACAAACTGATCAGATACAGCGCGCCGGGGTAAAACTAATCCACGGTCATTACTCATTCAACAAAAGCTTCCAGCGGACGGTAAGGGAAAGAACTCACTGGCGCCTCAGTCACTCCCAAGAAGAAACGAAGAACCACCATGCTACTGTAATCCTTGGCAAGGAATGTAAGCAAGCTCACGATGGACCAAGCCATGCAGAAGCCAGCCATGTACCAAGAAGGTCGGACGCGGTTCAACACCATGTTGGATGGGATCTGGCCCGCGATATATCTATTCGACGAAAGTGATATGAGCCTGTGTTCGAGCGAAGACACGAGAGGAAGACGGGAGAACGCCTGCTGGTCATCCAAATGGCACATACCCGACGAACAGAATGGACACACAGGTGTTGTATTGAGTGCCTTGTAGGTTGAGCTCTTTCTCGAGGTCATTGAGTCGCGCGTTGACAAGAGCATTGCGATCGAGGTAGTTGAAAAGATACATGAGCCATAGGATGGGCTTGCTCTCTGTCAGCATAGCACAGGGGCACATTCGGCAGATGAGCACATACCAAGATATGTAAGTCCAACTTCCTGACCAGAGCGATTTCCTTGGGGTCAGTCTTCGCGTGGGCACCAAACTCATCGACCTTTTCGTAAGTGGGCTTGAATGGGCCCTCCTCAATGGTAGTGGTGTGCTGAAGGCCGATCTGGTTCTCGTTCTCTTCAACACTGGCAATGCCAGTGGCAGACTTGTCCGCTGCCATGATCAAGATTTACCACGCAAGACGAGAGACAACAGAGCTGGTATGGAAGAGGTAATGGGATTTGGAGCAATGTAACGGAGAACAACCTGGGGGGGCACCTGGTTTTATATACAACGGCGGGTTTACCCCGCAAGCCAGGCCTCCAACACCAGCCCGCAAGATAGGCTTGAAAGTGATCTTCCAATGGCCACCCCAACCATTTCAAGTGACAGGCCCCCGTTTCTTGGTTCTGCGGCCGAACCTGGGAGATGATTGGGCCGGGTGTGGGGGTCAGTTCCCCCAGCGTTGTACCCCAGATGCGGGGAAGCTGAACCAAGATGGAAGGTCGTTGTCCGCTCTTCTCTCACTAGCTTGGCAAAACTTAAACTGTTACTCTAAGTCCAAACAGGTCTCAGCGCCGGTGGTGGAATGGAGTCATCAGCAGCGTTGATCCAGATGTGCTCATGCGTACCCCAACTTTGTGGATCGATAGATCAGGAGTCCGCCGCATGACTGGTTCCCTGACTCGATTAGAGTAAGTCTAGATCCCATGTTTCCCTCTTCTGATGCAACCATCGCTCGTGGCGAGCCCAAGCAGCTAGACTGTCTTGGCGGCTGGCTCTGGCCAATCTTGGCTTCTCAGGTGGTCACCACCACACGCCAAACGCGCTTGGTCCTACGTACTCGTCGGTGGTTATCGCCATCGGCGGTTTCTGCGGAGGGAGGCTAGCACTCACACATGTTACTATGCTACCAATCATAGGTCATATGGGCGGCTAGAACTGGTGAGGCTGTGTATTTTCCTAATGCTCAGGATCTTGGTGGAAGAGGGAAGCTTCTTAGCTCACTAGCTCAATTATCTGTTAACGTAGCTTTACGGTAAAGTTAAAAGAGAAGTAAAAGCCATGAATTTTTTACCGTGGCTGGAGCACCGCCCGTTAGTGCGTGAGGATCTTGTTTCCCAGACCGTTGGGGACCTGGGAGTTTACCAAAGGATAGGCTCTTAGTTGATGAACCTACTACGAATCAGTTATCGCATCACTAGCTAAGGGCAAAGATCTTATCAACGCATAACTTCCAATCCTACAATATGAGAGGTAGGTTGCCTGTGTATTCGCGGAAGGGGGCGGGCAGGTAGGGAGCCACATCTCAACACCCCGGATAACCCCCACGGGGTATACGAGCAAGAACTAATCAGGCCCACTGTATAAGATGAAAACTCGGCTATTGATCTCTACGACAAGGCTGCGTCAATTTGTCATGACACATGTGATCTCCTCGGTGATGTACATCCTCATATAACTCACTTTTGTATTGTTCAGAACCCGGAACCAGGGTTTTTCTCAAGTGTACTGATCTCAACCTTAAGAGTTGGTGAATAGAAGCCATTCCCCAGTTGCTGATGGCCCGGCTACTGCGGAAGCAGATGGGCTGCGTTGGGCCTCATCACTCCAATAAGCGCCCAGGCATAGGACATGACCATACCCCAGGACCAAGAAGCAGGGGTATCATAACCATGGTCAAGGGTTCCCCAACCACCGCAAAAATTAACCAGTCTTCCCTAGACCCGAGGCTGCCCCTATCCTATACCGACCAGTGCAGACAGCCTACTCCGTACCCGGACTGACACTTTCCAGGTTGTGGATCCCCGGAATCTCTCATTCCGAGCACCCTCAACGACCAAGACAAGCGTTTTTTCAAACCTTCAGCCCCAATTAGACTCCTTAGAGGGAGAGGGGGAATTAGTCTACATTTATGTGTCTTTTCGGGGAGCATAGCATTTCGTAGCTTTTATCCTGTCACATAACAGACATGGCTTGATAGGCATTGTTTCTGCATTCATGGTTACATTCATGCGACCCAAGAACGGAGAACATACCAAGTCAGTCTAATGGGCCGAGGGATGCCTGTCGTCACATCGCTGATCAAGAATGCGACTTTTGGTACAAATAAAATAAGCTCGGCCAGACACAAGACTGAGGCTAGAGTGCATAGATAAAGGCAAAATAGGATTCTGGGGGAAAAGGCGACCTAGGTAGAGAAGATCAGCAAAGTGATTTCCATGATTCTCAGCTACGTATTAAGAAACGTTTCGATGAGCGTATTTCCTCCCCCATGATCCTACTTTCTGCTTGGCAAAAGCAAAAGACGGTGTGAGTGTTCGAAGAGCTACCTAAAGAGGAAGTGAAATCATGGACGAGGATTCCGTTCTAAATGCCACCCCAGTTTGCTTATCGCTTGTTCCGACAGATTTACTCCTTACATAAGAGTAATACATGCTGATATCCATGACGGTCGGAACAGTTGTATCCCGAGGAAGAAGCCACATGGTAGGCTTGTCACGGTTACTGTATCCTTGGCGAACCTCGCTTATGGGATCCATGACTACTGGCAAGACCGGATCCGGGGCCGGGTATGTACATCGAAACATCGTTTGCGATGCGGTTGCGACCCTCGTGACAGCCTCGCGTAACTTATCAGCGCCCTGAAATCTCTTCCATCCCAGCTTCCTACCATCCTCGTTAAAACCCTTCCGTGAAGGTAAAAGAGTGATAGCTTCTGGGCTGTAGGCCTCTCCGGTGCCTCGCAACTAACTAATGCTCCTTTCCTTCGCTAGTCATCCGTAGCTCTATTCAATTGTGTGTGTGAATAGGCGTGCCTTCGTTGGTGCGGCTATTGAAGCAATGCGACAATAGGGAAATCTCTTGCAATGTCTCTTCGCTCGTAAAAGCAGTATCCAAACAGGTGAGTCGACTGTCATTCCTAGGTGAATCAGTGAAGTGCTGTGTTGCCATTGTCGTGCGCACACAATGTGACTTCTCTTGCGCGCGGCCATTGTGTTGGAGGAGGTCAATAGAGGAGAGCGCATTGAGGTGGTGCTCAATAGATACGAGCCTCCTGATTATAACCGGCGGTCTTCCTGTTATTTATCCATCCTTTTCCCTTTTCATCTGCATCATCATATCTCGTGAGTAGCTTCGGGACCCTTGCCTTAGCAGTGCATCACAGTTAACTTGAAGCAGCCAATCGCACATCGCCACCACCACCAAACCACCATGTAAGTACTATTCCCTCGCACGAGAGTCGCTAGGGATGCTTTGCTAACCAAAGGGGGTTCTAGGTCTAATTCTGTTGCCGATGCCGCGGGGGCCAAGGCTCCCAAGGAGGGCCGGACCCTCAACCTTGTGCCGTAAGTGCCTATACACCGGTGTCACGCCTGAGAGTCGCAACTAACAATCCGCAGGTGCGAGAAGGAGTGCCGGCGTTGTTTGACTGCGTTGGCCGACTGGGATGGCTCGGGGCTGATCCCTACCTGTTGCAAGGACATCAACTGTATGCTCTGTTGCGAGTCTGCTGCTTTCTTTGGGACTGTCTGTTGCTAACCACCTGATAGCCCGTTCTGGAAAGTGTGTTCGTTGCGCTGCGCACGGGAAGCAGTGCAGCCCAGTTGCTGCAGCCTACCGTGGCACTGCTGCGGCCCTTGTGGCCGAGGCCTCTAAGGAGGTGATTGAACCTGTGAGTATTCCTGTAGCGATCCTCTTGTTAGTCACTTGCTAATGGGGTATTAGGCCAAGCTCAAAGCCCTTCAAATGAAGGTGCATCGGGCCCTTGAGGCCATGAAGAAGAAGACTGGCGCGGCTGCTGCTTCTGCTGCCCAGAGGCTCGCTGTTCGCGAGCAAGAGGCTCGCCTGGCCCGCGAGCGGTTCCATGACCAGCTGTTCCTTGAGGCAGTGAACTGCCTCCGTACCATGGCGGCTGCGGCTGCCCGCCAAGCCAACGTATGTTCTCTTGTTAGTCTCTTGTTAATGACTTGCTAATCTGTTGCTAGGCTGCTCGTGGAAGCAGCAGGGAGCAGGTCTCCCTGACGGATCGCGTTGCGCCGGGCTTTGTGCCCAACTTTATGCCTGCCGAGGAGGAGGAGGAGGACGAAGAGGAGGAGGAGTAAAGGGCTGGCCTCTTGTTAGTCTGTTGCATTCCTATTGCGCGCCGCTGGTCGGCTGCGGTAATTCAATCTCTTTGCGCCTTGTTTGGTCTCTTCGGCGTTGGAGGGGGTGGCTCCCCGGTCAGCCTATCTAGTCTCTTTCTTTCCTGTTGCGAGCTGCCGGCTTGGCCTCGTTTTGATCAATCAATTGCGTGGGGTGGCTCCCCTTTTCGCCTCCTGACTTCTTCATTCAGAACTATTCAATTCTCAAGCACTTGAGTATTGGCTCTCTCTTGCGTGTGTATTGTAGTGTACTAGCTATGCTATTTCCTCACTTTCAATTAACTGTTCACTCAACTGTTTAACTTCACTATTGTACACAGTACAGTACCCTGGCTTCTATTGTCTCCGGGCTGCTAGCCTTCTATTAGTCTTTTGATAGTTACTTGCTAATTGGTAGTAGAGAATAACATTAAGGGAAAATTAGTAGGTTAGTAGGGAAAGAATCAAAGGAGAAGGGAAGAGAGGGGCAAACCTAGGAGTCTCTTGACTATAGATCTCTTGTGTTTCTCTTGCTCTTCTCTTGCTACTCTATTGTTTTTCTATTTCTTCTTTCGTTCTTTACTGTGAAATACTTCTGTGCGTTTTTTTGCTTCTATTGATTTTGCTGCTCTCGTTGCTTTTATTGCTTTAATTATATTTCTTTTAACTGCGAGCCTCTTGCTGGCCTCTTGCTGTTCACTTGCAATCCTTCTGCACAGGGATTTCCCTCTCGAGCTCTTCTACCCAAACAAGCTTCATCAAGACCGGTGTAGCTACTGCGATGCTCTGTCGAGCCACTTGCTTGCTTGCAGTCGAAACTCTAGGACGCACGCAAGTCAACTGCATGCTCACTATACAAAAGCTGCACCCTCTAAAGCTAGACGAACGCCAGAGAGTCGCACCCTCCTCGGCACGCTCTGTGCAGCTTATATAGCTGAGGCTGTAGGTAGGGCAGTGGTAGGTTATCTGTTCACCCCACTAAATGCAACACGCCGTACCGCTCTTTCTTTGCTTGAGAACCACTACAGATACGCAAGTTGACATATGGTTCGTTGCATGTGGTCTTGCGGGTCATGGAAACAGCATATGTACAACCCTTCTGGCTTGGGTATGATTGAAAATTCGTAAGTGGCACGCCTGACTATATCACCTGACACGCTGATATCTGAATATTCAGTAAAAAAGGCTGGCCTCCCCCCTTTTCCTGGGCTCTCTTGACTTGACCCTATATTCTTATTCTCTCATGGGCTCAGCTCGACTCACGGCCGCTCACTTGTAATTCGCAATTGGGTATCAACAGGCTCGTATGTCGGTCTGCTTTTGTAAATCATGCATATGGTCATCGTAGCCTTGTCGTTTTCGCGCTTCTCGATTTAGAATATCTAGTTCTTGTTCGCGGCGGCTGGCAGGTCTCTCGCCGGTCAGAAGGCATCAGGTCGCCGGTCTCGGGGTTTGATTTCGCTTATACCTCAACTGCCCCTTCCCATCAAGGCAGGTAGAGCAATTAACGTATCAGTGGGTTCAGTTCAAGGGTGTAAAGGGGCACGCAGGTAAGGAACTTGCGGCTAGCAGGTATAAGGCGTCTGCTAGTGGTCACTTCGTGACTACTTTAATCGCTGAAGACCTCCTTTAAGAGGCAGTAGCCTCTCGTTATCGCTAGGCACAGGGGCTTCTCGTTGCTGAATACGTGACTTGCCAGGTGGCTATTGACACTTCTTGTGCTAGTCCATCTCATTATGCTATTCACCTGTGGGACACCCTTTATGGGTATTTCTTCCATATGACTAGCTGCAATGTCGAAAAGAAACCAAAAGGCATACGAGGCATCGGCTAGAGAGGATTGGTTAAGGTCACATCTCTTGACCTTAATGAAATGGCTCCTGCCCGAGTTAGTCATTGTATCTAGCGCCACGTAATAGATAGATTCAGGCGGTCAAGCTACTCATCGAGTAGGATGGTAGTGTCACCTATATCGACTGTAGACCGATCCCTGGGTACAAGTTTTATTTCATAACAGTCACACTGAGGACTTGGCTCTCGTAATCCCTTATTGGCCTTGCTTCAACTTTCTTCTTCTCCTACATTCCAGCTCCCTAATAGCCGCCGTTCAATCCCTATTAAGTCCAAGGGAGTCTTTCCCTCCAGTAAGTCCACCAAAGTATTATACTTGAATATACGTTTTGTTGCCATATCGCGATTCCCCGTCCTGTAAAGTGGAGGTAGAGTAAACCAGTCTCGGATTATCTTCCTACCAGTCCCTAGTATTCGACATTTAACTGATAGGCGAATACAGGGGTCTTCTGGCCTTAGCATGGTTGCCTGGTTAGCAAGTAGGCAGCTGTCATGTAGGCAGCCCGGATCAGCCAGATCGAACTTAGTGGCAACCTTCCATTCCTCCTTAAGTTTAACTTCAGGAGGCAGAGTAAAAGAACAGGTGATTGAGAATTTATTAAAGTCGAAGAGGTTTAAGCAGAAACTTCGTTCTCCAGTGGATTTGGTGTGACAAATTACGCCGTCTTCTGTCAGGAAATCTTGGAGTTTCTTTCGAGAGGGGCCTTTACAACCGTCGTTCCTAGGCGTACCATACGTTCGTGTCCTCCTTCTGGGCTCAGGATCAGGCTCAGATTCGGACTCGGACTCAGGCTCAGGCTCATCCTCGCTGTTGAGATCACTGCTTGGGCCCTCATCCTCTTTGAAGGCGACTGCTATCTCCTTGACTAGAGCCTTGGTTGTCACCGTCTCAATGCCGTTATGATATGGGAGGTAATGGATTATATTCAACCCTTTGTACTCCTCCTCATAATTTGGAAGGCGATGAGTTGTAGTTGAAGTCCCTTCGGACTCATATTCGTCACTAAGTGCGAGAGCTTTTAACTTCCCGAACTTATTCCAGAACTTCCAACGTCTCTCTTGAAGACACTGGAGTAATTCTTTGACATTTGAGTAAGACTCTGGATCCTTTTCGCCAGAAGGAGCTGGTTTTTGGGTAGTTTCAATCTTCGGATATTGATTTCTGGGTACCTCGCGGGATAAGGCAACTCGTAGTAATTGTATTCCTTTCTCTAGGCTTCCAGCAGCAGCTTCCATCAAACTTGAGAGGTCATCTTGGGTTTGGAAGCCAATATGGTAGAGCCAGTCAGCAACTGGTATCGGTAATGTGCTGGGAGTCCATGGAGCCTCAGACCCAGCTTTCTGATGGTATATCTGAGCGATTAGGAGGGCTGTTGAAGACTTGCTAACCCAGAAGTTATAGTGAATATTCTGTGCAGTCAGTGCTGCAATAATGCCAAAGATATCAGTTAACTTCCTGATTTTGGAATATTCTCGAAGATGAGATGACCTTCCTGGATTAGGGCATGCTAGGAATACTCGTTGGATCTTTTTATCTTGGGTAATAAACCAGATGTCATGGGAATAACTGTTGAGCTGAAGGCTAAACGGGCCTCTAAAGGTATTGCCGCTTTTTGTATAGCTTAAGAATGCCCGTTGTATATCTTGGGTTGCTGTCTGGCCACAAAGGACTATCACTCGGAACCCACTGCTCATTATAATATGCCGATTTAATCCCTGGATAACCTGATCAGGTTCTGAATTTGGGATAATACTCGAGGATCCTTGATTTGGGCTTGAAGCAAAGCAACTGGACCACATTCGACAGTTGTGTTCGGTTAGGTTCAGGTTCTCCAATTTGCTATTACTAAAGCTACCAGCTGTTATGATGGCTGCTTCTGGGCTGTGAATAATTGCAATAGTAGCTTCAGTATTCCCAGTTGGCTTTTCGACTGGGCGGTTAAGTAATTTCTCCGCTTTGGAAAATTCACTACCCTCTTCCTCTTTAGTATAACTGATTGCTGTCTCAGGGAAGATGAAGTGACTGAGTGGAAAAAGTGTAGCCTCAGCCTCACCCCATAGTGGTGCAGCAACTTGCCCTCGAGGATCCAGCCCATTCTGTTCAGCTAATTCGGCGATAGCTTGTCGATAGCCTGCCCTTGATAGCTTGGAAATCTGGCGTCGGCGGTTTCTGTGGATTCTCTTCTGCTTCTTGCGGAATACAGGAAAGGAGGCAATATTATGATCAGGAGATTCAGTACAGGCCTCAAGGTACTTGGATCTAATACCAGATGGAGCTTCCATCCCTTGAAATAAAGGCGGTAATATATTAAGGCCTAAATTTGAGTATTCTGTAGAACTCTGTCCAAAAAAGGCCTTAAGGACTGAACCAGGTAATGATTCAAAAGTAAGGCAGAAGACCATCTCTAGAATACTCTGCAAAAGTTCCTTCTGTTTTTTGTCGGGGAGAGATTCGATGGTTGAATAATTGGTTGACTATAGTCGTACAAAGTATGCGGATCGGTGGCCTTCTCCCTTGGCAAGTATATAGTAGCAAAGTCGTCTGGTATCGCTATCCCATATCGACTCTGCATGTTGGATGCATACTCGGGTAGACAGTTGGAATGATTGCCCAACGTAATACCGGATATAATATTTATCTCGGTCATCCAACCCGATCATAATATAACCACCTATATCTGTCTCTGTCCAGACAGTAGGATCTTTAAATTGCTCCTTGTGTATCCTACGAATACTATACAAGGGAGAAGAACAAAGTTAGCTCTGAAGTAAGTAATACTTTAACTGACTCTTAAAACAGTAAGATTCAACTTACATTTCGGCTGTCAGCGATTTTCCCTGTAACTCTAGAAATTGAGGTAGGATCTGAGCTGTTGCAATGTCTGCAATTTCGTCGAGAGAGCCCCATTCGCTGATTGTTCTCATGATGTTCATTGATCTCAGCTCCTCAAACTCATCATTTGCTAGTCTGCCAAGGAGTGATATGATTGTATCCTTGAAAAACGGGACAGTTAGGTGCTGAGCATGGCAGAAGGGTTGCTAGGAACATGTTAGTATAGAGGTACTGAAAGAACCCAAGTGTATAAACTTACATAGACTACTTGATCGTTGAGTTCTCGTTTCCCGGGGCAGCGATACTCAAAGTATGGCGGATTTAAGGCGCCATTTGGTTGTGGCTGGCGACAAAATGGAGGCAGCTTGAATTGTTGTCTCTGCGGCTGATCTTGTTGTTGGTCCCGTTGCTGACTTTGAAGCTGATCCCGTTGCTGACTTGGCTGCTGATTCTGCTGCTGACTCGGCTGCTGACAAAATGATGGTAGCTCAAGTTGCTGACCTTGCTGCTGATTCTGCTGCTGATTTCGTCGCTGATGCCGTTGCTGATGCCGTCTCTGGTCCCTTTGGCGTTTGAGAGCTTGTTCGGTTGGGGTAGGCGAGGGTCTATGTCGCGTGTTTAGATTGTGGCGGGTTCGATCTTGGTCTGCAGGTGGAATCCCGTGGTGTTCCCACCAGTAGTCCTCCTCCTCACGCTCTTGTGCGTCAACAGCTCGTTGGTCCCGAGTATCCTGGGGCGTTCGTATGTTCTTTGGACGGAAGGATAGGCCTTTTGGCCTCTCGTTGGCAGACATCCTTCAGTGCATAGGCCAGAAAATGGCGATCGATGGAGGTTGGTATGTGGATGAAGATGGAACAACGGCCTAGTGAGAATCTTTGGATGAAGCTTTTGCGTTGAGGTTTTACAACGATGGAAAACTCGCGTGTGGGGAGTTCGCGTTTGTGTGCGCGACTTCGCGTTTGTGCGTGTAAATTCGCGTCTGTGTATGTGAACTCGTGTTTGCGTTCGTGCGTGGGAGCCATTTAGAACAGATTAGAGAGAACAAGATGGGGGAGAAGGTGCCTTGTTTATCTTTTTTTGAGCTAAATCTGCGGTGCAAGTGGTTCAAACTTATGCATCCTTGAAGATCAGTCTTTATTGGAACAGTGGATTGTTTCTTTACTGTTTCTCCGCTCTGTGTTCTTTGTTCTGCTTCTTCAAGACTCAGCCCATTCCGTACGTCATAGACAAGCGCTGATAGCGGGCAGATGTGCAACCACGGTGTATGTAACTTTTTTAGTATCTGGCTAGTCTTATATTCGATCCCTCTCTGCCTCAAGTGCCGAAGCCGTAATGTGGCCATGTTTGTCGGGACAAATGTCTGCAGGATTTGATGGGATGCGCGTTGCAGATAAAGGACAAACAGCACAATCAGATGGTGTGGAGGATGTATACAGACCTGGAATACTTCTCTTTGAAACATACTTCTACAAACTCACATTCTTTGGGGATCAGACAGCATTGACAGGGAAACGGTGCTACGGGATCCCGGCGATGGCAACGGTAGTTGCTCTTACGCTTGGCTTCACGGGCTCGGCAAGCGATACGGAGACACGGCCTAAAGGGTGGTGATGGGACTTGTAGGCGGGATCCATTGAACAAACTACGGTAGCGGGTCTGTTTCAGCCATCTGGCGAGTAAGACACCGTGCCCGGCAGAGTAGCATGAATGGCGGGGACTGCGGTTTATCTCGCAACATGTCTTCATGCATTGTTCTCGTACAGGGATGGACTGGCTGAGTAAACACGAGCTTTGCCACACAGAACAAGAGTTGAGTTCTCTGAGCAGGAGCTGCCATTGTTGGATCTACGCGCCCCTTTCAGACCTGGATTGGAACTGTGTAAAGCACTCACATTCATCAACACTCAGCTCTCCGGTATTAGCACGCTTATCATGCACATCAGACTCTGTCACGACTCTCATTCGCCCGTGGCAATGCCCTAAGCGCTGCTTACACCTCCTCGGATGCCTTCACCATCTCCACTCTCCAATGCCAGGCCGCATCCAGGGTCGCATCCGCGTCTTTAGCTTCCCAACAGGGACCGGGGTGGCTCCTCAAAGCCGTCAATCAGCATCCAAAGCGCTGTGCTGTGAGCTGTGAGGATAAAAAAGGAAGCGTGCAGATGGGTGCAGCTGCAAGAACAAAATACGACTGAGCGCTCACCCCCAGATCCTGGGCCGGTTTCGCATTGACTGTCACTTTCCTTTCCCACAATCAGTTTTTCCCTCATCGTTTTGATTTTCCCTTGTCTTTGTTTCTTTTCCTTTGGAGTCACCGAGGAGGCAGCAAAGCAACGAAGTACACGCAAACAAATGCTCTCCTTCACCATCGATTGATTCACGCCCAAGCAACCAGTACCACGCAACGACCCCCAACAAACCATGATTTACGACCAAGTCATTGACAAATTTGGCATCACCTGTCCCGACAAAGGCTCATTCTACGTCTGCGACGACAAACCCACCAAATTCATCGGCTGCTGCACCGTCGATCCGTGCAAGACGACCACCGGCGATTGCCCCGACGGTAACCTCACCGCCGCCAGCTTCCACCCGAATTCCTACCTCGACATCGAGGGCCAGGACTGCGTCAGCGGCGACCCAGGAGTACAATGGTTCAGCTGTGCGGCAACGAGCCCTCCCTTCCTGGGGTGCTGCTCCGGCAATCCATGCAATGATGGCGGGTGCAAGGGCTCAAACCTCTCCGCCGCTGTGCTCAACCCCGACGAATCCAAGGCTGCGGCCTTCCTCCCCGATGGCTATAATCAGAGCAAGGGCCTCTCCACGGGAGCCAAGGCGGGCATTGCCGTGGGCTGTGTCGTCGCCGGATTGGCCATCATTGGTCTCGTCGCCTGGTGGTTCTGGAGGAGGAGAAAGCAGAGGAAGCAGCAGCAGCCGCGGGAGGTCGTGCTGGGAGAGAAGGGCAGCAAGAGTCACAGCAATCACACCAGCCACATGAGCAGTTTCAACGGCCCGTCCCCTACCTCCGGACACATCTACTCTCCAGCAACGGACATGGGCACCCCAGGCCCGGACAGATCAACCGTCTACGACCCGTACGGCAGGGAGCACGTTGTCGGGTCTCCAACGGTCTCGGACCTGACATCAAATCGATCGACGTTCATCTCCGGCTACGAACCGTCAGCGCCGTCCATCAGCCCGTACGAGGGCTACTCCTCGAGCCAGCCGATCCCTCCCATGCCGAGCCCGTCGCCGAATCAATGGCATCCCAGCATGTACAACAGCGAGAGGCAGAGCCAGGTGGAGGCGTACCCGTATGCCCTGAATGCCATCTCGCCCATGCCCAGTGGTCTCGAGAATGCGTATTATTCGCCGCAGCAATTTGATCAGCACCACTTGCAGCCGATGCCTGGAGTGCCGATGCCTCAGGTCAGGCAGCAGCATGTGGCTGAGCTTCCGGTAATGATGGAGAGTGGAGGAGTTGCTGGGGCGGGACATAACCTGGCACCGCCTCGGAGAGGGGCAAGTGGGAGGAGGGGGAGGGCATGATGGGATAATATATATTTGTAACACGTTAATGAAATAATCAAGGATGATTCAAGATCGAATGCCAGAACCACGCAATGTAATTTGAACCCTGGCAATCTATTCTTGTCTAGCATTTGCAATGGCTATCTGATTTGTTTCGTTCCAGTCTACAGAAACAAGACGAGGTGATGGTGATATCCGCCGAAGCAAGAGCAATCTTCAAGGCCTGACCTATGATATGCGCCTCCGCCGTACGCCCAAGACGCACCAAACACTCGTGGTATCCGTGAAGCGCCCAGACGTTATTGGGATGCTGGTGAGCAGACGCAAGGCCCTCTATGAGAGCCAGATCTTCCCCATAGACCCTCGCCGCCTCCTCAACCTTCCCATGCTCGAGCAACAAGGCGCCCAGTGCGTGGCGGGTAGGGAGCATCCAGCCCCATGGCTCGCCGTAGTTCAACGCGTCGTCGCATTTGACGGCTGTGCGTAAGTGTGCGAACGCCTCGTCGAAGTTCCCGCGTCTGTATTCCATCTCTCCGTCGAGCATGGCATGGGCGACTTTGAGAATATCCACCACCCTGTTGGGGAATGACAGCCGTGTGCTGGGCACCTTGGCCAACGCCTTGTGGAAGTTATCACGCTCTTGTTCGGCGCGTGGCAGGTCATTGGTAGCAGCATAGGCGATGGCCTTTCCGTAATGGATGTTGGCGATGGTCACGCAGTAAAGCTCCTGATCGGTCGGGAGGGCTAGAGTCTTGATCTCCTCCCACATTCCAAACCGAATCATCACGTGGACACGGACTGCATTGAAGCTTTCGCACCACTCTGCCATTGGTGGCGATGTCGTACGGAGGAGAGCCTCGGTCAGAATCGCCTCCATGCGATCTGTGGCATCTAGTGCTATGGCTCGTCGACCAGCGAGCATGGCAGCATATATCAGAGAATGATGATCGTGGAGCTGGTAAATACGATAGAAGGGGAAGTCCTGCTTCTCGTAGTACTTGGCATCGTATCGAATGGCCCTGGCGTTGGCTGCGATGGCTGATCTGTAATCCCCGACCAGGACATCGATGTGACTGGGCATGTGCTGCAGGTGTCCGCTGTCGGTGACCAGCCTTCGCAGGTTGTCGGCGGCCGGTATGGCTGCCTCGGGAGTCATGGACATCTCCTTGAGATGGATATACAGGTGGAGGAGGCCCGGGTGAGAGTCTGCCCCGGGGAGGGAAATCGCACGGTCCAGGATCTTCTCAATCTCGAGGACAGGCGTCGCGAGGTTCGGCTTTCCGGTGCGCGATTCGTAGAGTGACCAGGGCGCCATGTTCATGAGCGCATCGGACACGAGAGCGAGGATATCCAGATCGTCTTGGACGGACTTGCGTAAGACCTCGCGCATGGCATCGGCATATGCAGCAGAGCAGGCCAGAAACTCGGCATCGCTTGGATTCTGGCCCTCGGGGAAACGAACCTGGATGGCGTCGATCAGAGCCTGTTCCGCCTCAGAGGCCAGATGCCGTTTATCCAGCGCTTTCCTGGCGAATGCCCGGCACCGTGGGAGAGAGATGGCCAGATCCTGCTGATCGAATGCCTTCCACACCTTGTTGTAGTTTGGGCCGCCGGCATAGGCGACGCCCCAGTAGCCGATGGCGCAGTCGGGGTCGTGGAGCGTCACTTGTTCGAAGCAGCGGCTGGCTTCGGCATGGTTGAAGCCAAACGCCCAGTTGAGCCCGCGGTCGAACCAGGTCTGGGCGTCGTGGTTGGATGTGGTGATGGTGCGTGAGTGTTCGCCCAGGTAGAAGTACTCTGCCGAGGCAGGAATTTTCTCGACAGGACCCTCATCGGCACTCATGCTGGAAGGGAATTAAAGACTGACTTGTGATGATCAAAGCTAGATCTGAAGATGAGCAGCGTTAGATCCAATACTCGAGGAGTTGGATGTAGAGGTAAGACATTGTGTCGAGCTCGCTAGTCATGATGATGACATTATTCCCCGCTTCATGCAAGATATCGAGGTCCAGTAGTAAGCACGTACTTTGCGTTTATCCCAAAGCCTTGTGAATTCTTCTCTCCAATTGCCGATGTAATATTATAGACCTACCGGCTCTTGTCCATTACCCCTTTCGCGAACATCTGTAGCAAGGATAGATTGACTCAGCTTCTTCCCTACAAATTCAACGCAAGGAGGACTAGAGCACCTCTCTTACTGGTTTCTGGCGCTGTCACATCCGCTACGGTGCTTATTAGCAACTGCTGATACTACACTGTAATGATCGACATGGCGACTGCTGCGGACCAGAAAGTGAGTGTAAACTCATAATATTTATTTAGAAGTCACATTTTACTACGTCTGTCCTTGATTTTATAACTCATCATTAGTATACCACGGGCCATTTTCTCCAAGTCCACCTAGAATACATATGACTAGAAAGGTCAGCAGAGTTCTGTGATAGCAAAGGAATGCACTTACCAGATCATGCCATGCAACGCCGGCATACTCAGACTCGCTCTTCCCGTAATGTTCAAATCCCAGAGCCTTGTAGTATGGAACGAGGCGGTCATATGTCAGAATGGAAATTCTCTCAGCTGCGCCCCTCTCCTTCATGTGCTTGAAGTAGGCCTTCATCAGGGCCTTTCCGAAACCGGATCTCTGGTGCTGCGGGGAAACGGCGAGGGAATGCAAGGCGATCGTCTTCCCCTTTGCTTGGTGACCGACCGAGTAACTGGCCTTCGGGTCGTTCTTCCATTCGGGAGGGAAGGCCATGTCTTCGTCCTTGACGGGCTTGTTCTCTGACATGGTTGAAATGACATGGGCAACGAGCACATCGCCGGGAGACGAGTCCTGCTTCGAGATGATGTGGATGTCCTGTGGCGCTGCAGAGGGAGATGCCTGTCCTTCCCGAAGGAACAGACCGAAGCAGAGCTCGGGGCAGACAGTCAAGCGATACTCGATCTAAAATGATATGAGCCCCTCGTTGTTCATCAAGGTCGCTCCAGCTGCGATGGCTGTCTTACCTTTTCGCGAGTAGCAGCCTCAGCTGGTGGGAACGCAGCCGTCTCGACGACCAAGCTGCGTTCAAGGTCACCAATGTCTAATTGCCGAATATAGAGTGTCATTTTGGGAATATGCAGATGCAGTACAGGTGATAATAGTGGTGGTGTCGACGTTTGATTTGCACGTACAAGCGCCGAGGACTTTTATGTGTTGGATCTTGGCTGGATCGAATGCTCTAGACGGCAGTAGAAGCCGAGAAGGCCACTGTAATTGTCAATCTTAGGGCGTAATACCAGTGGGACTATGATTAAAGGCACTGAAAATTCAGAATCCAGCATCCACTCAACTACGCAACCACTCCACCAGACCTGGATCAGGGTTCAGCCTATGGGCAGAGAGACAGATCTTCCTACTTCTCGTATTTTCATTCCAATATTGTATCTTGATATGAGCTGATTTATCAATGTTAGATTTTGTATGGGAGGGCATTTGGGTCGACGCTATTTAAGAGGGGAGATATGATGCTTAGAGAAAGTGAACCTCAATGGAAGACTCCACAGCGACCTCTCAGTGTTCTTCACCCATTGACTCGTCTTCCAACTTTTGCATTCTTAGCCAGAAGAGCTAAAAAGCGCCCTACCATTAACATGACACATCAAAGTATACAGGTCATAAACTGTACTACGCTCTCCATCATGGCTTGGAGCCATCCAAAAACTCAACTCCATAGCCACTTCCATCTCCTCTGACAACATCAATCTGTACGACTTCCATCAATTCGCCGCCTACATTCTCACCTCCGAAGTGTTCGTCCTTCTGTGGAACAGGTCTTGGCCTCTCGAGGAATACACTTTGGACTCTCCTTGCACTCTGCAGAAACCTGTCTCTGATGGCAGGATAGTCGGTATTGGTGAGCTTACCGTCCTTCTTCACAAATTTACCGTCCACAAGGACATGCTCAATATCACCAACACTCGCGTGGAGAATCACAGCCGCTACCGGGTCATTCCAGCCAAGCATAGACGGAGAGGTGCCATCCCAGACCAACAAATCTGCCTTCGCGCCCTCCGTGATAACTCCAAGATCTGGCCGACGCAAAGCCAGGCCGCCGTTGCGCGTCGCCAGGAGGAAAGCTTGATTGACGGACATGGGGTTGTTTGAGGGCACTCTCCAGAGTTCCAACGGTCCATTGAAGATGAGATACCTCACCTTCTGCAACCATATCCGAGCCTGGGTCAGAATATCGGCAGAGAAGGTGAAGTGCGTATCGACACCAAGGGCCGCTTGATCCGTCGCCAGATGGCTATGAGGATGAGTATGACCGTAGTGCATTTCAGACTCGGGAGTAATAGAGATGTACTGGTTTGCTTTCTTCAGGAGTTGAAGCTCTTGGTAGGTGAGGAATGATGCGTGGGAAAACACAACCGGGATACTGGAAGAGAGAAGTCCTAGCTGATCCAGAAGTGCTGGGCTGTTCGAAACTGAAAACTGTTAGTGAAGTATCCACTACAACTGCGAACATACCGCTTACTTCCGAAAGGGCCTTGGAGAGTATGAGTAGTGACGACCGACACGTTGAATTCGCTAAGTCCCGATTAGTGTAATTGATTCACGCCTTTGTTATTCTTTGAATTGCTCACGTGGCTAGGTTGACGATGGCTTGAACTTGCTCTGCTGGGTCCGCCCCGAAGTAGTCGTAGGCTATCCCGAGGCTTGTGGGAGTGTCTTTGAACGTGCCCTTTCGTGCGATATCTCTAAAGTTTGCAAGCTGTTCAGACACGGTGAAGTTCGTCACATTGTGGAACGCATACGCCCAAAACACCCTCGCTCCGCTATCAATGCTCGCTCGGAGCCCTGCTTCGGATGTCTCGTTTGACCACGTGTGATGCGCGTGGTCAAGGACGGTGGTAACCCCGGCATTTACGGCCTCGTAGAGACTCGCAAGCTGGCTGAGGTACACATCTTCCGCCGAGAAAACACCAACAGAAGCAAACTCGGAGAATCGAGCAAAATACTCCCACAGTGTGGTATT